CTTTCTAATGAATGCTGGCCACTGCAGTCCCAAGCTACTATGTAGTCCCACCTCCGTCCTCAACAAAGATGGCGCTGATGTGCTTGTGACATCACACAAATGACGCGCATGTAAGTTTTGGGGTCAAAGGCTATGTACTAACTAATCATAGCCTTACGAGTGTTATTTAAACTCAAAATAGCATTTGGTCAGTGCCCTGTCATGTTTTCCACTAGCTTGTTAACAAGGAGTGCGTTCCTATTCTAGTTCTTTTTGATAATTGACTTTGGCTTGTATTTTGACTTTCCCGTATTTCTGGTATCTTTGACTTTTCCTCATTCGACTTGTTTCCTCATTGTGTCTCTTTCTGTGTCCCTGACCTCAGCTAGTATTTTGACCATTCTTTGTTTACCTTAAGTCCGACCATTCTAAGGCCAGGTATACGTCATCTTGTTCTTTGTGTCTTACATAGTTCTGCGTTTTGGGTCATATAGTAATCGTGACATTACCACAGGGACACGGACCCTGCAGAATTATGTTGCCACATGTTAGTTTGCGAAAGGAGGCTGGAGGACAATGATCACCGCATGAACCAATTTGCCCAGGCTTTCCAAATGCTCATAGCCCATACGCCTCATTTTCAGCCTGAAGATCCACCGTCAGGTCCACCCACTCCTATGGCGACTATGCCGATTGTATATAAGGCACTTTATATCTCCCTATCACCACCTCCTCATTTTGGAGGTGATGCACAAGAATGTAGGGGATTTCTTAATCAAATCGAATATCATTTTGAGGCCTCACCTGGGTCTTTCCCCTCTGATAGAGCTAAAATTGGTTACTTGATGAATCAATTAACGGGTAAAGCCTTAACTTGGGCCAATCCATTATGGGAGAGTAACAAATCTATTGCCTATGATTACAAGGAGTTCCTTACTGAATTTAAATGAACATTTGAACCATTAGGGAAAGAAAAGAATGCTGCCAAAGCCCTAATGCGTATTAAGCAAAGTAACTGCTCTGTGGCAGATTACGCTATTGAATTCCGTTCTCTGGCTTCTGAGGTAGACTGGTCAAATGGTGGGTTAATAACTGAATTTTCGGAAGGGTTATCCAATGCTATTCTTGATGAAGCTGCAACTAAATAATTACTTGAAAAGTTACAGTATATACTCGAGTATAAGTCTAGTTTTTCAGCACATTTTTTGTGCTTAAAAACCCCCACTCGACTTATACTCGAGTCAATGTCTGTATTATGACAACTTAGAGAGCCGCGGCCGTCAGAGCCATGGCAACGATCCACGCGGCAACCAGACAGTGGAGCTGACCGGAACGGAGGAGAAGGGAGCTGACCGGAGCTGCAGGAAAGGTAAGTAAATGCTTCCTGCCGGCCCCCCCACTTCACAGCCCATGCCACTGGACCACCAGGGATTAAGATAGCCCCCTTCCCTGACCAGTTAACAAGCAGGGAGGGGGGACAAAAAAAAAATAATAATAATAAAAAAATAATATATAAAAAAAAAATTAAAATAATAAAAATGACCTCCCCCACCCAGTTCACACACACTACACAAACACACACTCTGCATTATATACACACTCTGCATTATATACACAGAGTGTGTGTATATAATGCAGAGTGTGTGTTTGTATGAGTGTGTGTATATATAATGCAGAGTGTGTGTTTGTATGAGTGTGTGTATATATAATGCAGAGTGTGTGTTTGTATGAGTGTGTGTGTATATAATTATAAAAATCACAGAATTTCATAGCCCAAGTTTTACCCTCGACTTATCCACGAGGCATAGCATATTTCACAATTGTTGGTCACAAAACTGCACTCGACTTATACATGAGATCGACTTATACACGAGTATATACGGTAAATGATTATATCACCGATATGACGCATATTGACAATCAACTCAGGGATAGGGAGAGAACTAGAAACAGAAACAAGCATTTAAACATGGCACTTGCACCTCGCTTCTCAACTCCTGTTTTGCCTATCCCTTCTTTGTTTTCTGAATCTGAACCTATGCAATTAGGGGTTATGAAATTATCTTAGGCAGAGAAACAATATAGGAGAAATGACAGCCTCTGCTTATACTGTGGTAAGAAGGGACACTTAAGCACTCTTGACTGGGTCAAAGGGGAAATACTGGGATGGGGTAATGAATGGAGCGAAAAATGTATGGTACCCGTAACTAGGAGATTGGATACCATTAATCTGCCTACTGCTACTCCTCTTTCTACTGAGATTACTGTACATTATATGGAGGTTAAATACGTTTTTAATTAGGTTCATACAGATACTTTACCTCCTCAACGATCTTATAATTGCTCTATAAATTTCCTACCTGGTACTATACCCCCTAAAGGAGAGGTATATACCTTACCACCTCAGGAAAGTAAAATCATGGAGGACTACAGAAGAGTCCTTACAGAAAGGCCACATACGTAGATCTTTTTCTCCTGCAGGAGCAGGTTTCTTTTTTGTATAAAAGAAAGAAGGAGATCTACGTCCGCGTATTGATAATAGGGCATTAAACAAAAGAACCATTAAAAATGCTTATCCCATGCCTCTGATCTCTGAATTATTTGACAGACTCCAAGGGGCTAAAGTGTTTACCAAACTCGACCTTAGGAGTGCTTATAATTTAGTAAGAATTATGCAGGGACATGAGTGGAAAACAGCATTTAACTCAAGAAATGGACACTACGAGTATCTTGTTATGCCCTTCGGCTTATGCAATGCTCCAGCTGTATTTCAGGACCTCATTAATGATGCTCTTAGAGAATATATCTATACATTCATATAGGTTTATTGCGATGATATACTCATTTATTCTCCCGATCTCCAGACTCATCATGGGCATGTGAAACAAGTGTTGCAAACATTACTCACAAATGGGTTGTATTGCAAACTTGAGAAATGCCAACTTGATCAGACAGAGGTGCAGTTCTTAGGCTATATAATTTTGGCCTCTGATTTTCAGATGGATCCATGTAAACTAGAAGCTGTTCTGCTTTGGCCATTACCTAAAAGGTTGAAAGCGATTCAAAGGTTTATTGGGTTTGCTAGCTACTACCGGAGATTCATAAGGGGATTCTCTACAGTAATCGCTCCAATTACCAACCTGACACGTAAGGGGGTTTATTGTCATATATGGTCCAAAGAAACTAAAGAAGCTTTTGAGCATCTAAAATCATTATTCGCTTCAGCTCCTATACTAGTACACCCTGACACTAGCAAACCCTTTATACTAGAGGTCGATGCCTCTGAAACAGGGGCAGTGGCTGTCCTTTCCCAGAGGGAGAATCAGAATACTCCTTTGCATCCTTGTGGGTTTTTCCTCCAAAAAATTGTCGCCAGCAGAGCATAACTATGATATAAGTAAGAGAGAATTGTTCGCCATTATCCTAGCTTTGAAAGAGTGGCGACATCTTTTGGAGGGATCTAAAGATCCACTTCTGATTATTACAGATCACAAAAACTTGGCGTACATTGGAGACGCTAAAAGGCTGTCTTCTAGACAAGCTAGATGGTCGCTCTTCCGGTCATGTTTTAATTACAGACCAGGTCCAAGAAACGTTAAGGCTGATGTCCTATAAAGGCAATTTGATATAGGGGAGGAACAAGATCAGGAAATCTTTCCCATCATACCTCCTGAATGTATTATTGTGTAAGAAATGGATATGTAAAACTGCAATATTGTATATAACTTTCTGTGTTTGTGACTGGTTTCACAAGTTGGGGTCATTTACTTGATAACAGTGTGATAAGGATCAAAGTGTTCAGTTCATTTTACAACACCCAGCTAAAACAAAAGCTAACATCCCTCCAGCAGTTCTCCTGCCAACCAGTTTTCCATGCATGTTATCAGAAGACCAGAGTTATGAGCATCTAGGTGTAACCATGGAAGTATGTGTTTTCCCAAGCAGTCCTGTCTAACCTACCCAGAAACCTAACCTAACTGGTCACTTCTTTTACAATGTTACAGTATAGTTGGAGGGAAGAGACCAAAGGGAAAGACTTGTGTAAAGACAGAACTCTCTGGAAAAAGAGAACGGGAAAAAAAAATTTGGGAGGGAAAATGGATTCTGGGAATTGTAGTTTATGACAGCAAGAATGAGTCTTTAAAAGGACAACAGACAATCTCTTTTGCATAGGACAGTGCAGCAAGCAGGTGCTATGGTGAACTGAGAGAGGCTGTCCCAGATTACCCAAAATGAAGGCGAAAGGGGAAGACCTCCATTTAAATGTTTAAGTATTGCCCTTTTATTATGCGTCTTGATTATGTACTGGATATGGTTATAATGTATAATGTGCATTTCCTTTTAAAAACTAACAGTATCCTTAAATATTTACAATACATTTTATTATACACTTGTGTTTGTGTCTTATTTGTCACACATTCCCTAAAAGAATATTCTAATAAGAGGGTCATAATTTCTTACAATTGCTTCTACAGCTCTTTCTCTATCTTCTCCTCTCCTCTGTGCTATAATGGCAGCTCAGGCACCTAGTGAAAAACCTCATGATGGGATGTTTTTACTTTTTACAGAAAGAAAAGATATACTAAGAGTGTTTCACGATAATGTGACAGCTGGTCATCCTGGTATAAATAAAACTACGTCCGCTGTCACCAGATCATTTTGGTGGCCATATCTTAGAAAAGACATTAGAGAATATGTGGAAGCATGTACTATGTGTGCGGTTTCTAAGTTACCTCATCAACAGCAATGTGGGTTATTGCAACTGCTTCCTAAACCCAATATTCCATGGTCCCATTTAGCGATTGGCTTTATTGCGGAATTTCCGATTTCAAAATGCTATAACACCATTCTAATGGTTGTTGACCGTTTTTCTGATATGGCACATTTAGTTCCACGATCTTTATACACTATGCCAAAGGGTTCACAGGAAAAATTAATTGGGAAACCCTGCACTATACCAAAGATCTGCTTAGGGTACCTCCTCGACATACTTATCTGTTTATGATTACAAAGGCACAAGATTTTTTGAATATTTTTATTACATAAGTTTCAAATTCCTGATGCTTCCACACAAATCCCCAACAACTTAATGTAACCAATAAAAAAGACACAATGTTGTTTGTGTAAATACATTTAGTAATGTATCCATGTCTAAATGGATGAAGAGTGAAATTCTATAAAATATCAGGATTATAAAATCATAAAAATATCAATACATTAGAATAATTGTAGCATATAAACAAATATTTTTCTTTTTTGAAATACAAGAACAAGGTGATTAAAAATTGCTTATGCAAATTGAAAATTTTAGGTACTTCAAAGTCTGATTACTGGTGCTCAGAAATCCATCATTGTAAACATTTTACTTGCGTCAGTGAATATACTCAGTGCCTGGGCACATCACAAATGTTCATCCTCCTTTAAGAAACAAGTATCAACAGTTAATGAGGGAGGATTCATTTCAAAGTCTTAAATATCCAGAGAGAAATGTTAAGAACCTCCAATGCCCACCAGCAGAGCAATCAGGAAAGCTAGATTTCCAAAGATGTAAACTCCAAGGATTAATGGTTCCGCCTGTAGCAAAAAAAAAAAAACGGAATTAAATAAAATGTAAATATAATAAAATATACCAAAAGAAAAATAATTTTACATATAAATACATTTGCGGTTTACAAACCTATAACTATATTAAAGTTCTACACTGGGTATATTGGCTTTGATAAGAATATTTTAAATTCTACTTAACGACCGAAAACATGTGAACATGAAATAGAGAGTATTTTCTTCGATGTTCATTTAGCTAGGTCCTGAATGGATACTAATTAATTGATGAGGTAGATTAATTAAACTCATGCAGTCTTGTTGAAAAACAAAATATTTATGGAGCATTTATGGACCCACATTAGAATACACTTAATTCCTTCAAAAGAAATATGATTTTTTTTTTTATTCCTTTATTTTTGTAAAGTTTTTTTGTGACATTCTTAGCAACTTGCCAGTGCCTGAATTATGACCTGAAAGATATTCTAACAAAAGACATAGTGGATAATCATTTCACAGTGCCCTATCAGACATGTAGCCAAACATTTCTGGAGTTGGGAATTCATTAAGTTTAAGTGACCTTAATTGCGGATAGTGGAGATTACTGGTTTTTTGTGCTTGTTCATAAAATCCAAAATGTTTCGTAAGGTCTGTTATAAGAAATGGTTTAGTAACAGTTCTTGGTCATGGTTTAGAGTTAACAGCTTATTTTGTGTGTATCTGAGTGCATATATAAAACTGTGTGTATCCATGCGTATATGACTGTTTATAGGTGTAAATGCATTTGTATGTGTAACATCATTTGTGTATATGTGAGCCTGTAAGAGCATTCACATATTTACTCACACAGTAAAAAATATCAGAAGTTGGAAATCTCCAGCTTACAATAGATACATTTCAAACACTGAGAAAGAAATTAGACTTGCCTTCAACAGTATTGCTATGTAATCTGTGCATTTAAGTGTTTAATAAACTTTGTATCCTTAATTTCTGCCCGCTTTACTACAGGCCTAACCACTCGTTGTTTATGGCACACCTCAATCAACTATTGTATTATTCCAGTTACATTTATTTAGGGTTTTTGTCTGGCTCAATTTTCCCAGACACAAATAAAAGGTGGGAGTCTGATATTGTGGGATTGGTTATTTGGTACATATTACCTGGATACCCCCCCTCTCACCAGTCATCGCTTTTTGGAAGTTCCTTCCCCCCCCCCCTCACCCTTTTTCCATGATAAATTTCTACAGGTGGGCCCTCATTATTACAGGTCTAACCACTCGTTAGTTTTGGCACACCTCAACCGACTTATTATTAGAGTTACATTTGTTTATGTTCGGCTTAATTTTCCTATTACTCTCTCACAGATGAGATTGAGAGATAGAGAAAGAGATAGATCGGTTATGGTAGAGCGTGGGGTAGGGCACTGTGTGGAGATTGTGAGATCTTAAGGAAATATGTAGATAGGGGATATATATACATTTTACCTTACGACCTCACAATCTCCACACATTGCCCTACCTCACACTCTACCATAACCGATCTATCTCTCAATCTCATCTGTGAGACAGTAATAGGAAAATGAAGTCAATTATAAACAAATGTAACTCGAATAATAAAATAGTCAGTTGAGGGATATATATTTATATTATATTATAAATATTTTTGGGGGCTGAAGCACCTGGTCTTTTTTCCACCTAGCATCACCACTGGTTACCTTAATGGCATGCCTCTTTATTGACATTTTTGTAGTGATTTGCAAATATGAATTAAACTATTTTATATAATTAAACAATTCAGGATGTACATATTCAGAAAGATGTATGTTACTTATTTATTGATATAAAGATTATTTTAAATCCCCTGGCTTTAGTTCAAGAGGAAGGCCTGGCAAAAACACTTTATGTAGACACTTTATATTTTTTTCTTTACCTTTTTCTCATTCTCATATATTTCTGAAAAAAAAATAGATACAGTAAGAAAACCACATATATTTTAAGTTGCTCAAAATGAATGAGACAGAGAGAAATAGTCACACTTCAGTTCTACAATTAAGAGGACAATATCTTACATATCTTACATTTTTGTACCAGTAAGCATGGCTTTATATACAGTAAGTATGGCAAAGAATTTCACATTTCTGCAGTTAAACTACAGTGAAGAATATCACATATTCAAATGCATGGATTAATGGCACATTTATAGTAATGCGCTTTGTCTTTGTTTATAAATAGCAAACAAAATGTCAGTCTACTCCGATAATGTATATGGTTTCAAGGTCTTTCATCCGGTGCATTATTTTGGATGAACAAAGGGTTTGTTGGATTTACTAGCAATGTCTATTTTAAATCTCTTGGGATTCCATTGCTCAATACGGTTGTTTCTCCCCAGACAAAAGCCCTTCCTTTACCAAAATCTACCTTTTTCTACTTAATAGAGGTGCTGCTGTAAAGACCAAAGAAACACATGAAACTATTTGTTTAACGTTTGATATTGCTATTTAACATCCTCAACATACAATTCCATTGTTTAAGGAATCAGCCATCAATTTAATCAGCCATCTTTTTATATGTATATTTGCAGTCATGACTAAATTCCTTGTTTTGAGCACCCCTACACCATAGGTACCCCATCAGACATGGTAAAACCATAATTTGGGCACCTAAGAAAACGCTTTACTCAGTATGTTTTGTTCTCAGTATGTTTATTTTCCCTGTTAAAATTACTGTAGGACCAACCAATAAGTAGCCATGTAAGATTTAAGGCTGGATTTGTTTTGCTTTGCATGTGTGCGGTTCTTTAACTGTTTCTTTTGCATATGGTCACCAGAAAAGCTACAGCATAATGTTCTGGTGTCTATAGTCTGTCCCTGCAGGCTTCTAATGAAAACACTGCCTTTTCATAGAAAGGGCAGTGTTTACATTACAGCCTATTAACACATTTAGCGGCTGTCACTCAGACGGCCACTTGAGGTACTCCCTGGGTCAGTGCTGCACAATGTGCAGCACGGATGTTCAGCATCTCCATAATCTGCATGTTGAACATTCCTCATAGAGAGGCATTAATTCAATGCATCTCTATCAGGAGATGCTGATTGGCACAGCATGGCATTTTGCCTGACATGTGCAATAGCTTCCCAATGCTTTCCTCTGTGAAAGCATTGAGTTGGCTGAGATGGTCAATTTAGATGATCTCAGCCAAGAAGCCAGAGTGAAGCAGAGTCAGCTGCTGCGGACGTGGGCAGTGTTGGAATAAAGGTACATTTTAAACAATTTTTAACACGGGCCAGATGGGCCACCTAAAATGTGTTTTTAACACTGTAGTGTCACAAATACATGTTTTTGTATCCCTGACACTATAGTGTCCCTTTTACTTCTAAAATATGAGTTATATAAAAAAAAAATACATGTCAGTAAGTTATTTACCAGCTGTAATCTAAATGTTCGTAACTAAAAGCCTCTCACTGAAATAAGAACAAGCAATATTTGCATTTCAACCTGAGACAGCACTGCTATTCCCTCATGCCATCATTAAGGGTTGCTTAATTACTATGTTTATGCTGGAGATATATAAACTGTAAGTGAACAAAAATTAGACAATACACCCATAATAAAGATGTGTTTAAAATGGCAAAATTGGCTGTAGAGCCCAAATTACAGATTACAACAAATGATTTTGAAGAAATGACTGGTTTCCACTGGTCTCTGCTCTGTTATCTGCACCAGCAGCACAAAGTCACAATCTATACTAACCATTATAAATACATTACACAGATCATTATGTATATTGAACGCTAGTAACCAATCAAGAGCCAATAGATTAGGCATGCTTTTGGTTTAAATATAAATTACACATGATTTTGGTCTTCTAAAAAGATAAAGACTGTTTCTAGCCAAGTAGAATGAACACACCGTTCTAGCCTTGCTTAGATTGCCTACCAAAACCAGATCCGCTGCCAAGATGTCTTACCTTTTACTTTCAAACGCATGTTGGTCTCCAGAATGATGTAGAACAAAATCTCCCATGCAAAAAATCCTCCCATTACCTTGGATAACCAGAGAGTGGAGGTTGTGTCTATTAATTTCAGGCCGAGGAAGATAGTGGCCACTGGAACAAAGAGCATTCAGAAGGTTATAAAGAGATACAAAAGTTGGTGTATTTCAATTTCCCTTGATAAGGCAAATAGATTGTACACTTCTAGATACTGCTAGATACTGTATCATCATAAAAAAGCCATATAGACTATTACCTGCCAACACCTTGATCACAAGTGCATTCAGCATGTGCCCCCAATTGAAGATGAAACGTCTGAAATTAGAATGATAGGTCATGCGTTTATTATGTGTTTTCCAAAAGAGGTTATCAATAAAATACTGCCACTCCACATTGTATATCCCTACCCAGAATCCAAAGCGTTAGTACTTGCCGTTTACTGACAAATTATATAGGGAAAAACAGGTTTATTGTCTTTTTAGGATTTATTACTAAACAAAATGTTCAACAATGAATGTTAACATTCAGAAGAACTACAATAGTGCCACTAAGGGTACCACGAAGTTCAGGTGAGGTCAAAAACACATTCCCTACACTGCATAGTATTTTTCATGCTTCCATTATGTTACACTTGTTATAGATGTTTACCTAATATACTATAATTTAGAAGGAGCAATAACAGCAATCTATGGTACAATTGCATCAGAACTGTAACATACAACACATTAAACAAACAGTAAAAAATGTTTTGCTTAAAAAGTACACCCAATACATTATCCAGAATTATGACCTAATCAAGAATGTGACAGTTTGGATGCTTGGAACCTACTTCTCACTCTTTGGATCTGGTCGGAAAAATGCAAGTATGGGCTGGAAGAAAGAGAGGATCATCACAATGCACCCAAGAACTGGGTGGGCTCCAGTGTCCTGTATAAACAAAACATTATATGAATAATTTTTTAATGACCTTGCTCCAATAAAGAAAGATGAAGTGAATACAGAGATAGCCAACTGTGAAGGTACGGTTTGAAAAATGTGTACAGTGTGTCACTGTAGGTGTAAAAAAAATAATTATAATATAATCAAGTAATGCATTTTACCACTATATTTTTAGGTAACAGAATTAGGATTGTGCCCAAAATTAACCTAAGTTTACAAATACTGTACCTTCAACCAAGAATCTACTCCTTTCCAATTAAAACTTATCCTTATCCCATTTCCCTTGCAGATATGTAGCATGTGATATTATGAATTCTACAGAGACATTTGAGGCAAGTGTAAGACTGTACTTTTAGGTTTATGCACGTACAATATGTGCCATATTTATATATTGAAGACAACTCGTGTAATGTGTACACTTCAGACTGACAATTCTGGTGAACTGCAGTAGTACTGGGATTGCTTTTTTTTTTTTTTTACTGAGGGGTTAACTGTGGTCTGTATTGAGAGAATGGGTGCTTGGCCACAGATCAATATGATGTGCTTTACGAAGATAGAATTTTGCACTGTTCACCACTTTATTTCACCTTGACAAGCACAGCAGCAGTGAGTGCAGGGGCCAATCAAGACATGCTGGGAATTTTGGCTGACATGTCACTGTAAATAAATATGAACGTTTAAAAAAAAAAAAAAAAATCCAGAAAAAATAAAAGACAGAAAACCAAACAACAAAACACCAACACAGAAAAACAAGCAAACATGCAGCCTCTCGGGACTGCCATCAGAAATGTTTGGGCCCCTGACAAAGCACAAGTTCTGGGCCCCCCCCTCACCCCCTGATGGCGACCCTGCAGCCTCTACCTCATTACACTTACATTTAAGGGAACACTCCACACACCTAAAGCACTTTAGTTTGCCAAAGTGGTTTATATGCGAGGAGTTTGTAAATAAAGAACAAAAAGTGATTTGAATAGAAATTGTCAGTTTTGTTGTTAGACATTAGGTCCTGTTACTTCCTGGCTGTTTAGCTCAGTGGAGAGGCATCAATTAGTCAGACTTGACCTACATTGGGAAGTCTGTGATTGGACAGCCACCGACAGACTGGTCAGGGTTTGAAGTAGAGAACTTGCAAAGGCTTCAGGCAAGAGATCTCCACTTTTGCAAGCTATTGATATACCCCAATGGAAAGAAAATGGATATTTTTTTTATTACTAAATAGTGATTTATTGTGTGTGTTTGGGCAGCGGAGTGTCCCTTTAGTACGTATTAAGCTTAATTGATTATAAGACACTTACATAAAACCTATCATTCAAAAAGTCTACACAACATTTCATTCATAAATGTATATACTGTGCCTATACACTCACATAGCTCCAGCCAGCAACCTCGGCGAATATCATGATGAATGCAATTATTGTCAGAATCACAGTAAGAATCATCAGGAAGAAGTGGGACTGGAAAAATAAATAAATGCAAAATAAACACTTATAAATATCGAAAAAACAAACAAAAAAACTGAAAATCTAAATAATTTTAGTCGGTTTAATGATATTTTTTCTAAAGTAAGAAATAGCAATACAAGTGAACAAAATGTACACGTAAAATTATTTGAAAGAGGGATGTTAATCATGCATTTAACTTACATTCCGTGTTTTTATGTGAAATGCGGCAGGATTTGAGGGAGTAATTATTTGTTCTTTGAAACCTCCCTGACACGGATTACAGGAGGCAGTAGGGGCTCTGTTAGTGTGAGGGGATTATGCATAGTTGGGGTGATGGGAGAGAATATTAATGGTCAGGGATTTGAAGGCTCTGTGACCTGCTTTGCAGAATGTCATCTCTCAGCACAGGAAGCAACTTGGCAGTTGCTTGACCATTAAGTGGGTGACCATGATACACCTGCTTATTTTTTGTCAAACGTGTCCAAGTTTGGACATTTGGAACAAGCAAGAGCCAGTTTATTCACTGAAGTGAGAATTCTAAAAATAAAAGTCAAAATAAGCAAAAAAGATAAATTCTCTAAGCCTCAAAAAACCCTGTAAGTGTTTAGTATGTCCGACTTGCTTTATACTAAACACTACTGATGGGTTTGAGGAGAAGATATCTTGGATGCATACATGATAAATAAAGCACCATGGAGGCTGGAGAGATTATTTTAGTTGACACTCAATTAAGAAAGACTAATGTAAATATGTCTTCTCCCACCTGGAACCAGATAGCCTTTCCGAGGATTGGTCTCTCAGCTGCATTCTTCATGTAACGAGCCATAAGCATCCCGATACTTCCAGTCGTCATCCAGGCAATTAGCATTAGGGCACCTGAGTAATAGAAACATTAAATGACAAACCAATCTATGAGTTTAGAGCAATAGCAACAAGACAGACATGTTACAGGTCATTTAATGTGAAATGTATTGGAGATCCACAAAATGTAAAATATCAAAACAGGTATTTGTAGCATGTTGAATTTAGTTATGGATTACTTAATGTTTTATTTTAGAGAAAAATACAGTTTTATTCCAAAAAGTGAAAGGGTCATAAGAGATGTTGGGCATGAGGATTATCACAGGTGTGGTTGTGCCCAGAGTTGGGTCCTGAAAAGGTCCTGGTCTGATTTTGGTACAATTTCATTGTTCACCCATAACAGTTATAATACTGAGAGAGAAATAGCACCTCGAAGAATAGAATAGACAGTACCACTCTAATGTACCATATTAAGAGTTAATTATATAGCACAGTTCGGGGGTATTGTTTTGGGTATAAGATTTGAATGCAGTACAAAGGATAATTAATACAGCAGGTGTGGAATTAATAAATATAAGCTCATACAATATTCTGAAACAACAATGTGATTGATAGAATACATTATGGTATAAGGATGGACTTTGTATGGGGCTGGTTTTAGAAGGGGCTTAAGTCAATATATGTGGAACGGTCCACAAAATGTTCCCTTGGGCTGAAACCCCTGCTCTTTTTGCCACTTAGTAATATCCCACAGCATTATACGGGAAGGACAGGTGATTAAGACTGATCAATTCAGGAGGCCAGCCAAATGCTTGGAAGAAAATAACCGTAGCTAACTTTATTTCAGATTTACGCAAATGATATGTAAAACTACATAAGTTAACTATTGTAAGTGCAAGTGTATTGAAAGTTAACTATTGTTATATTTATTTTTTTATAAAAAACAAAAAACTATTCATAATTGTTATCATGACGGGAAAGGTAAAAATGATTAGTTTGCCACTTTAGCATTAGATTTAGTAAACCCTATACAAGTGCCAATATAGATCCTAGCACACATCCACCAACTGTCAAAGAAAAATGTGGCTCTGCAACCATCTTGAGGGCATATCGGTATAGAACAGATTAGTAATTTATTTATTTAATTCAAGCACACTGTTAAATGTAATATATTGAAAGGTAATGAGAGAAGACAATGTTCTATAACTTTTTCTACATATTTTAATCAATTTATAAATCTCTATAGACTTTGATACTATATTTTTAGTGCTTACACTCCTACCCCCAAATGATGGAAGTCGTATCTGGTAATATGACCATATCTTACCCTAGAATTACCCTAGAACAAGCAAAACATATTAAATCACTATTGCATTAACTTATAAATTCACCATATTGCCATCTACAGAAATGCACATGTGGCATTTTTATGTGAGGTAAGTGAGATAAATAGGAAATGGACCATTCAAATTTAACACATATGGGCATTCAGGTTCTTAATTAATATTCACAACTGCCAAGTCAATTCACCCATTAAATGTGTGGGGCAATTAGGCTAACATAGCAAAGAGATATCCTGGATAGATTTGATTGTTTGAGTCCTCATCAGGGCCATGTCAAAACAGCAAGGGTGCAATTCACAAAGTAAAGTTTTGAGGCAGGAGTAAGAGAAAACAGGGCTTCTCACTCACCGGCTATGACAGGATATCAGCATGTGGTTACTCTAAACTTTAGAGATGTTATAAAGAATTTTGGAAAAGCACAGAGCAATACTCAATGCATCTTTCCACGACTATATTGATGTTGACTCCCCAATGCTGCAAGAGGATTGGACAATAATACAGGTACCAGATATGACAAAAATATATTTAGAAATGGTAATCATAAAACACTATGTGAAATGTAGTCACTATGAAATTCATAATGTAATGAACATGGTGTATTACCATGTGTTTATACTCTTCTGTGAGAACTCATACTCTTCCCATCTAATGGAAGGAACTGGCCCTCTTAGTCCCCTTCCATCTGGTTAACCATTACTACTGCAGCTTGTTTCACTTATTAAAAGTCTAATTTTCTACAGAAATAGTCAATAGTTCAAAAAGGACACTACACTGCCCACCTCAAAAAAAATAAAAATAGAAAATGACCAATGAAAACATGTATGCTTTTAATTCAGCATTTATTTTTTTAATTGTGGGTATATCTAACAACAGCTTGGCCTTTTCTGCTGCCTTTGCAAGCCATTTGGTCTTCCTTTATGGTAAGTATTTTTTACACTGGAATTAATTATCGTCTTTACCATGGACTTTTGGTGCCTGATTGCTTGTCTTAAGACTGTTGAGATGGTACATATGAGAATTGTTTCCTTCTTCCCCAGCCCAGACTTTCTGTGTATAAGCACAGACTTCCCAATGCAGCTCGATTAGGTTCTCTGAGCAATTGCTGCTTTTCATTGACAATGTTAACAAAGTTGACAAAGGTGTAACAATGTTAATTTTTTTTTTTTAAATAATACATTTAAAAAAATAAATGCCAGTTTCTGCTGAAATCTGTACTTTTTGTAAAATTAATAAATATAGAAATTTATACCTCTATCCTGTAACTTGGATACTTATATATAGAGATATATTTGTAAGCATAATACAAAAAAATCCATTAAACATTCCCCATTAAAATGTATCCTTAGAGCAGCTGTTTCCCATTCCAGGTTTAGGATACAGCGGAGACGCTATAGTGCATACCTGCACACTGAGGCCCTCAATAGAATGATTTAATCCCACAGCACCTTTTCAGGCATATATCTGAATGGACTTTGTTACCAGGGAGGAATCTTTAGAGATTCACTAAACAAATGGATGCTGTATATACTAACACCCAGTGCTCTGGAAAGAATTTCTGAAATAAAAATTTTCATCATGACATGTGCCAGGGAATGTCTGCCAGCAGAGGACTTTGCTTTTAAATTGTAGTTTATGCTAGCGCAGTGTACCTATAATCTTAATTTTATTAAGGACAAGAGGCAAGTATTTTGCATAATCTTTCTTTACTAAAACTGCAGCAGCACAGGTTTAACAATAAAGTTTAGTGAAAAAAACATTGCCATAGGGTATAAAAGGCCCTTCCTCTTGCATCATTTCCTCTTTCTTTGGTGCAAGATAATCATAAACATATCCTGCTATTACAATAAATAATGATAACGACGAAGAATCAGACTGTAAATGATCCGAATGGAAGATAGTCATAGAGTGCGAAGACGATCCCATGTATTGATCCATGAAGAAGAATCAAACTGAAAAGAAACAAAAGACGTTAAAGGGATTTCGAAATGAACTGTTTGTCCTCATTATTATTGTTATTATTATTATTATTAGCATAATCAATATTACTGTTTATAAAACGCCAGTTTATTCCGTAGTACTTTACGTAAAAGGAATTTATCAGATGAGACAAGAATTTTTTTACCGAAATAGGTAGCTATGATAGAGACATTAATATAGTCAAATTGTATGTATTAGGAAATCATAACAGATACCAGTCGTAATTACAAGATGTTATATGAAATAAACCACATAATAAAGAGATAACCACACCCCCTGAATTCAAATCTTTTATCGAAGTACAACCCAAGGAATGATAAATAGGGAGGGAAAAAGCAGGGTGGGGAAATACTTGCCTCCTGTCCTTAATACAATTAAGATTATAGGTACACTGCGCTAGCATAATCTACAATTTTATAACAGGACAGGAGGCTTCATATTTTGCATTTTTAATGCTATGGAACAACACAGGATGTGTGAAGAGTCCGAGGAAGTAGAACACCCTGAAAGTCTCTTCTCGTGACCCGGCCAATGAACATCGGCGAAGGAAGATGCACCGTGGATGTCTGAGATGCATCCATGATCCGAATGACCGATAACCAATCGATCTCCGCAACCATATGAGCAATGGTCAACGTGCCGACCCGGTAAGGTGGTGGCCATAACTGGTGTGAAAGGTATAGTATACAAAGGGAGAGAGAGAGGCTGTCTCGATTGAGAGATTCCTCGAGGGTTAGTTGGAGTGAGTATCCAAATCCATAGGTCCAACCTATAGGAATAGAGAGAAACCACAACTAAGACCCATAACCGAGTGTATTTCGATACTGGTTCTGGAGCGTATGACGCCTCGCGGCATATGAAAAGTCCTGTTGTGGAACGTGAGCCGCCAAAGTCTCCAATGGAATCTTGTGGGTTATCTGTAAGATGGGAGATAGTGGAAAGCCCAGAATGGAGTCAATGGGATCGGGGGCCCCTTCGATTCTGCCGTAGTGGCGAGGTGCATGTCACCCAGATCTCCGTGATGCGATGGTGACCAAGGAGTCCCATTGCCAGTTATTGTCACGAAACCCAGTTCGTGATATAGGTAATCTTCTGAGGGAACCCTAGTCGTAGGGTAACATTACGTGTAATTTAGAAATGGTAAATGTCCTCCGATATTATTAGAGTCCGATACCAGACTCCGTCCAGGTGTTTTGTGTAGCCGGTTGCCGAGATATTGTCCAAATGTAGGAGAAAACAAGTAAGTAACGTCTTGTAGTCTAGATAGGTGAGGTAGCGGATTCCCTTATGGCGCAAAGGGCGCCATGACCGGTTATAAAAGTTTCTTGGGTACCACAGGTTGTACCTTAATGATAGACACGTGAATTGATTCGTTTGGTTCGTCGATGAAAACAAAATGACTGGAAGTAATTGACTGGAAGTCAGATGGTGGTGATTGTGGTGCGTCACTCATCATGAAGTAGTGGAGTATTCTGTCTGTGAAAGACAGGAGAATATCAGGTACCGAAGTACAGTAGGCTTCCACTTATGACTGGGGGTCACCCAGTGTTATCTGACCGGAGACCCTCAGGTCGCTAGGGGTCAAGTGGCCTGAGGAGGGGGTCACCCTCTGTGCGACCGGGATGAGTGGTCGTATAAGTGGGCCTGTTTGGTTTGGGGTTCACCCAACAATATATGAATTGTGGAGCCTGTACACTTGCAATTTCCTCTCTCCTTGGTAAGGAGGTGTGTGGATCACCTCAGTCGTAGTGTGAGTGTCCGATAGTCACTGCATAGAGTCATATTGTTAGTGTATGGTAGGATGTTGAACCTGCATGCACTGTGTGAGTAGTAGTACAGTAGGCTTCCACTTATGACTGGGGGTCACCCAGTGTTATCTGACCCGAGACCCTCAGGTCGCTAAGGGTCGAGTGGCCTGAGGAGGGGGGTCACCTTCTGTGCGACCGGGATGAGCGGTCGTATAATTGGGCCGCACCCGTCAAGGGTGGAGGGCCTGTTTGGTTTGGGGTTCACCCAACAATATATGAATTGTGGAGCCTGTACACTTGCAAATTTCTCCCTCCTTGGTAAGGAGGTGTGTGGATCACCCCAGTCGTAGTGTGTTCAATATTCACTGCATAGAGTCATATTGTTAGTGTATGGCAGGATGTTGAACCTGCATGCACTGAGTCTCTTTGAGCCTGTGGGGGGGTCACCCCTGAATGAATCCTGCACTGAGTGCTGTATGACTCCGCTTGGGGGTCACCCAGCGTAGGGGGTCACCCCTGTTATGGTATTGGCAGGAGCGTGAGTGGGGTTCACCCCCAACTGAGAGGGGTCACCTCTGTATAGACACTCTGCAGCACTGTAATGATTAATGTACAGTGCAGTTTCTTATCAGCAATGTTCCACAGTAAATTATTGTTTAATGGAAATACCTAACTATACATATCCAACGTGTGTTGAAGGGATCGTGTGAGTCATAACCGCTAGGGGCGCAAATGGCCGTTGTGGGTCTCGCGAGTGCGAGATCTAAGATGGCCGCCGTTCGCGCCAAAACGACAGCTCGGCTTGCGGTTGCGGGCCGCAGGCATGGATATAAAAAAAATGCACAGAAATTAATAGATCACAAGATATAAAATCGTGAACACATTTATCTGGTTACCCAAATAGGAGATTCCAATTTTATCTACTTCAGTGGGGATTGAACCTGTGAACCATAAGATATGGACAATGTACTGCTAGTGTATTAGCCCATTGAGCTAACCTAATGCATTAAATATATTGTGAAACATACACACACATGGTGCTATGAATATAACAGCTCCTGACAGGCATTGAAAAACCCTGTAGGAGAAATGAGAGCATTCCAGACAGTGTGAATCACGGTCTGGGAAGGTGGCTGGCCGCCCTGGATTTTGCGGTTTGCGATACCCGAAATGGCCGCCATTCGAGCGCAAATCTTAATGCCAGTAATGCGGATTCCCACACTCCCCCTCCCGCTGACCCTAACCCTAACCGATGCCCCAGTCCCTGGTTTGAAAAGTGCGATTGAGGTAATTTGCCGCGATTGCAAAATGAATGACAGGGAGATAGTGAGAGGGAAGCAAAGGTAGTACAGGTGGGGAGAAAGGGAAAAATTGAAGAAAATAAATTGTGATAATGAAATATAGAGACAATCCATCGAAACCAGTGTGACTGTAAAACCATAGTAAGAATGAGCAGAGAATAAAATATTCTGACAGAGTAAATGTAACTTCAATAGTAAGAATGAGCAGAGAAAGGAAGCTCTGACAGTGTAAATGTAAATTCAGTAGCAGAGAATAAAATACTCTGACCTGTATGACTGGAGCAGCAAAGAAAGAGGAAATGATGCAAGAGGAAGGGCCTTTTATACCCTATGGCAATGTTTTTTTCACTACACTTTATTGTTAAACCTGTGCTGCTGGAGTTTTAGTAAAGAAAGATTATGCAAAATACGAAGCCTCCTGTCCTATTATAAAATTACAATTCTACAGTGCTAAATGAGCAAGATGGGCAGGTATGTACCTAGCCATTAACCCTGGAGGGCTGGCTAGTAAGTTGTATCAGCAGAGTCAACAACTATACATTCTTGGCTCATTTGAGTTTATTAGACTTGTATATAGTGAACAAATTCCTAAGATAATATAAATATTATTTAGATACTGGACAGTACAATGATTTTTCTGCCAATTTGATTCACAGATCAAGTGAGAAAAAGTGACCAATAGAAGGGAAAAACAGGAGCAGTAGAAAAATGTTCAATCGTTATATATAGATTACACATTTATTTCAACCCATACCTCCTCCCCTTACCTGCACTCGAGTTCCAGCGTTGCTGTGGGTTTTCACTTCCAGGTCGGGTTGCCCTTCCGGGTCAAGTATACAGGCGGCCCTGACCGGCATTGCTTCACAGAGGTCCTGCTCCCACTTAGAGTCCCCTCTGCCAGGCGCCTGTCCATTCCATGCAATTTGTTGCCACTCGCCTATTCATGTCACACAGTGATTCTATTAAGACGGATGCCTCTCAGAATGCCGTCTGCACCATCGGACGCCTGTCGGGTCCACAAGGTCTGACCACTTATAGTAAGTTTCCTGACTGTGCCTCTTGGCACGCCGTCAGGACCAGTAGCTTGGTCCCCTTACTGCTCACCGGGTTCCCTCAGCCCCACTCTATCAATTCACAGACACCTGCATACACCCCCTCCCCACAACCGACCCGCTGGATTCACCGTGTGTAGTTAGTTTGCACTTTTAAACTTGATGCAGGTCGGTTCGCGTTTTAACGAACAAGTTCGTTTGGCAGGTTTAACTACTCACAGCAACGCTGCTTGCATAAATCTTGCTATTTTGTGCTATGTTTGGCACTGTCATTTTGGCTCTTTATGAGCAGTCTTAAAATAAAGGGTAAGGACTTTCACTTGCATTCCCCTAATTTCAGCGGATTTTCAGCTATTCGTTTAAGTGATTTGCAGGTGGTTATGCCAATATCGCCACCATGTGGCCTGTCAAAGTAATTATTTTGTTAAGTACTATGCTTTATGTCTTGGTTTGGTTTGATTCCTGATTGAAGTATGGTTTTCTTCAGCCAGGAATATTTGGTTTCACGGGGTGCATTTTTCGCTTTCTTGTCGCTTCAGCCTTATTAAGTCTAACATTTCCTGAACTTCTTAGCCAAACCAGAAGTCCAAGTGTCTTTCGCATATATTTGAAAATCCTGTCTCTTACTGCGTAAAGTGTATGGCATTTTGGTCTCCAGCATATTCGGGCCTAATACTCTGCCCCCCACTAGCAGGGTTGAGGGCCATTGCCGTCTCATGTCCGTACTGTAACTTTAGCATTTTAGAGGTTTCAGCCTAGACTCTCGGTATCAAGTTAGGTACCAGGCATCAGATCATTGACTCAGCAGGTACGTATTACATCAAGATAAGGTGTTTTCAATCCCTATATGTTTACCAAGCTGACATTTCAATCATCATCAGTTATACTGCAGGGTATGCTACCGTCCAACCTCTATCATACCTATGTAAATTGCTCCTCCTTAACAAAAAGTAACCCCTCAAATGTTCTATGACTTACAAATTGCCTTCCCCCCCATGATGTGTTTTACTAAGCATTTCATGTTCACCCTGTACCTCAGGACTCATAATTGGGACAATTTCTCAGCATTATATGCATACTCCCTACACAAGCCCTGACTAGGCCTTTGCAGCACTCTTCATACGTCCCCAATGGGCCACTAAGTCCACTTCCAAACCTCCGTCCTGGAAATAAGTGAGCTACAACAGGGTGCAAGCGTAGGCTAAAGTTCAGCTATCCCACAACTTACAACCTTTATTCAACCATGTCTTATGTTACACATCTGCTATTCCTTATGCTACCAGCATACGACCACCCTGCTAATCCACTCACAACTTTTCCTAAGCGGCATACACCTGGCCATACTCTCAGAGTACATGACACTGCTTGATCCATTTAACCTTTTATATATCTCTTAATTATGCCATTGCGTTTCAGCATAATGTCAGTAGTTTGGTGTAACCAGGCCACTTACGTTGTGACACGTATGATTGTTACATCTCATACAGCCCATTACCCAGCAGTTCAGCTCTGATGTCATTTCCAGCCTACTACGGTGTGCTACATCCCTATCATACCTCGGCCCTCCATGAGATACGCAGTACAGCACAATTTTTCATCCCCTCATTTGAGCACTCACATACGGTTTACATTTGACATAAGTTTCTTTTGACCTGCCACAACATGGTCTCTACATATGGCCCTCATACGTTAAATATGGCCCACCACTACAACTCCATTTCGGCCCCTCATTTGAGCAAATACGCACGACTACGGCCTCGTTAGGACACTCATTTTTCTTCCTATAACCCCCTTGGTCAGCATTCTCAATGCCAGTCACAGACACTTGCTGGATCTCCAGAGTTTGTTTCCTACTAGGAATATAGATGTCCTTCTTATGGAAGAACGCACAGTGGGAACTCATACCTAGATATAACACGTTTAATTATCTTCTCTATCCTCATGTTGATGGGACTAAAGCTCAATTCAGGTACATTGTGCCCGTATCTCCAGTTACACTTACACCATACTAGACACATTCCTATTAGCATTCCTAGTGGGTCATTAAGTTCCTCTCTACAAGAGTCCTTTCTCAAGCTCAACCACACTAGTTGGGCCAGGTACGTAGTCCTTTTACCTGCCATCAATTAATTACGCTCCTCTTCCCCTACATTCCTTTGGGATAGATCAGCTGGCAGTGAGGGTAATGTGGGGGGAAAGCCTACAGTATTTTTTTTCTTACGTTAATTGTCTTGTTTTATTCCCCCCCCTCCCTGTATCTCACTGTTAATCGCTATATATGTGTGCACATAGCTAATGTGGGGCCCGGGACGCCCTGAGCAATCTGGGTCCATGACAAACGTCATGGTTGTCATGCCCTGATGGCGGCCCTGGACATATGTACCTTTAACAGAAAATGATCGGCATTGCAATTGTTCAAGGTAAATATATCAGAAGAGAAGGACACCTCACTATCTTGACAAAGCCAGCCGAGTACGGGCGAAACGCATTGATACAGCAGACACATATTCCATGGAATCCATGTATAAAGTGGAATTAGGAGACAAAAATGTGGTTCCTTGTTGAGCTCATTTGCAGACGCCTACCCAGAATTCCTTGCAGTAGTGAGAGCACTGTTAAAGTAAGATTTATGTGGGAAAAGCAAGTCTTATGGCTTGACTGGTGTGTGTATTTTTGTTTAGCAATGTATTAACTAATCATATATAAATAAAATAAATGTATTTTCTCACTGCTCCTGGGTGTTATGTTTATTCCTTATTCTCAGGTCCTCTACCAGAGGCCTGGGAGTTTGAAGATTCTGCACAGCATCTTAGCTGTTCCTAGAACTGCACTCTTCTTGACAGAGATTTTCGTTGTCCCACCTAGAATCTGTTGAAGCCACTCCCCGAACTTGGGAGTCACAGCCCCGAGTGCTCCTATCACTACTGTCTTCACTTTCTACATCCTTTCTAGTTCTTCTTTTAGTCCTTGGTATTTCTCCACCTTCTCATGTTCCTTCTTCCTGATGTTATAGTCACTGGGTATTGCCTGCAGTCTTTCGTTCTTTGACTACCACCACGATGTCGAGCACTTGCTTGTCTGTCTGGAATTTGAAGGCCCACAGGATCTTAACCTTGTCATTCTCAACTCCCCTTTGTGGTATCTCCCATCTGAACTTAGGCAGGTCCAGTTGATATTCTGTGCAGATGTTTCAGTACACAATACCAGCAACTTGATTGTGTCTCTCCGTGGATGCTGTTCCTGCTACTGCAACTTTGGAGTCTTACTTTGCATCTACCTCGTTGGAGTGAAAGTGTGGGGAAAAAAGCCACCCAATAACATCGGGGGAGGCACCCTTGAGCGCATTATACATATCAATCCTGTGAGTGTATTCATTTGTGGCACATAATTGTCTTATTTGAACTACGTTACACTATGTATTATTTTATGTTCCCTTTTAGATTGTGTACAGCCGAATCCCATATATCTTTTGTTTTTCCATATACATTAAAATAATCGACTTCTGGGTTCCGATCTTGGGAGGCTGTTTTTTGTTAGATCAAAGATAAGAATATTTTATACTTAATTCACTGCACTAATTCACACTGTGGTGTTATATTTGTTTTAAGTCATCAACTGCCTGTACCAAGTCCGTCACAGGTCAGTCTTTTGTGATCTCTCAATGGACTGGAACCTTTGTGTCTCACTGATGCGGTAGCGTCTTGAGTGGACTGTAGACTGGGGGCTATGCATCTCTGCTCAAAAACAAGGCGTTGCCTAAAAATCACTGCTTCGTTCCTTCCTTCGTACTTTGAGTAGTGCTGTCAATTCTATGTCATAGTGCAGTGTTGGTAACATCATGTTGTCTGTCTTTCCAGCATGTATTTTACCAGTTTTTAAAGCTGCAAACAGCCAGGGGCGGACTGACCGGTCGGGCACGGTCCGAGGGCCCGGCCGGGAGGGGGGCCCGCCGCCAAGGCTGGATTGGGGGCGGCATTTGGGGACTGCAGGTGCCACCGGGTGGCCGGTCCGGTGGCACACTGTGAGGGGGCCGGCATTTTCATGCTGCAGCCGCCGGACCGGGTAGCAGCCTCGCCGGTCCGGCGGCATTCCGCTCACTAACGCTGAAGGAGGAGGAGGAGCATGTGTCTATCATGCTCCCTGCGGTTCCCACAATTCCCAGCACAGGATGTGGGAACCGCAAAGGAGCATGATAGACATTATCCCCTCCCTCCTCCTCCTTCAGCCGCTAGTAGAGGACCGGGCGAGGCCTAAGCAATTCGTCCCATGCTGTGGTGGCTGAACGGGCCGCCCTGACTTCCTGAGGGTGTAAGGGGGGAAACAGAGAGATAAAAAGAGGGGAGAGATGGGGGGAGAGAGATGGGGGGGAAAGATATGGGAGGGGTGGGGCGGTGCTGGGGAACAGAGATATGGTGGGGGAGGGGGGAGAAAGTGAGGGGGGGAAGAGATATGGGAGAGGGAGGGGGGAAAGAGGAGAAGGGAAGGAGAGTGGGAGGGGGAACAGAGATCTGGGGGAGGAGGGAGGTGGGGAACAGATCTCAAAGAGAGGAGGGGAACAGAGATCTCGGGGGAGAGGGAGGGGAACAGAGGATATGGGGGAGAGAGAGGGGAACAGACATGGGGAAGGTGCTGGGAAACAGATATGGGGAGAGGGAGAAAGGGGGGAAACAGAGATATGGGTAGAGAGGGGAGAGGAGGGGTGTAGCCCAGAGATATGGGAGGGGTGTATAAAAGAGGGGGGAATAGAGATATGGGAAAGGGGAGAAAGAGGGGAACAGAGATAGGGGGGAGAGGGGAGAAAGACATGGGGCAGAACAGAGATATGGGGAGAAAGAGGGGGGAACAGAGATATGGGGAGGGGGGAGACAGACAGAGAGGGAAGAATGAGACACTGGGAGAAAGAGGGGGAATAGAGAGATAGGGAGGGGGAGAAAGAGACACAGGGGGAGAAAGAGATGGGGAGGGGGAGAAAGAGACAGAGAGGAAGAGAGATGTGGGGGAGAGAGAGAGAGACAGGGAAAGGGGGGAGAAAAACAGTGGAAGAGAGGGAGAAAGAGGCAGAGGGGTAACAGAGACTGGGAAGGAGGGGGAAGAAAGAAACATACAGAGGGACGGGGGGAGACAAAAAGGCACACAGAAGGGCTGGATATATCACTGGTGGATCCAGGGGGGCAACAGGGCAATTGCTCCCCCTCCCCTGTCCGCAGGCACCGTGCGGGCAGGGGAGGAAGGAAGAGAGGACCTGGGAGCTCACCCTGCAGCTCCTCTGGGTCCTTCTTGCAGGAGCACAGAGCGTTGCCGCGATTACCATGGCAACGTTACCGCTCTTGCGAGAGTCAACTCTAGCCCTGGAGCTACAGTCTAGTGTTCACTCTCAACACTGTGACCCCCAGGGATTCCTGGTGGTCGCAGTGGTGAGAGTGAACTCTAGCCCCATAAACACACTGCCCCCACACACACACCATACACATTCACACACTGCCCCCATACACACAATACACATTTACACACATTGCCTCACACACACACATACACTGCCCACCCATATACACATAGACCCCCATACACAACCCCCCATATTAACATTGCCACACACTTACACAGCCCACACACCCTACACATTCACACACTACACCCCCCACACACACTGAACCTTTCACACACATTGCACCACTGCTCCTATTCCCTACTACAGCCCCATATCCAGGCAGATCCCAGGTAAGTTGTCAAACTGTTCTTAAATGGTTTGACTACTTACTCTGGAGCAGTAGTGGTTATTGCGCATGGATTATTTATTTAAATAATCTACAAGTGCCCCAGTAGCCAGCCAGCCAACCCACAGGCTGGCCAGTAGCCAGCCAAGCCCACAGGCCAGTAGCCAGCCCACAGGCCTACAGCAAGCCACAGGCTTACAGCCAGCAAGCCCACAGCCTGCCAGTCGCAGCCAGCAAGCCACAGCCTGCCAGCCACAGTCAGCAAGCCCACAGCCTGCCAGCCGCAGCAAGCAAGCCCACAGACTGCCAGCCAGCAACAGTAATTAAGGTAAGCCAACTTGGCCTAGGTATCAGTGAGATATGTTGTGTTGCTATATTGTGAATAGGAACCAGAGTGTTGGAGAGACCACCCTCCAGGCCCCATTAGACTCCATTGTAGTCTCTAATGGGGCCTGGAAGAGATTCTTTCTAACACACTCTCTAAAGGACACTGAGATAGCCTCTGCTAGAAATCCCCTCCATGGCCCATTAGCCCTCAATTGTAGTCTCTCCTGGGGCCTGGAGGCGACTGTTTCCAGCAGGGGATATCTAATGGACGCTGAGATGGCCTCTGTTAGAAAGACCCCCTTCCAAGCCTATTAGACTCCATTGTAGTCTCTAATGGGGCCTTGAGGGGATTCTTTCTAACACACTCTCTAAAGGACACTGAGATAGCCTCTGCTAGAAATCCCCTCCATGGCCCATTAGCCCTCAATTGTAGTCTCTGCTGGGGCCTCGAAGGGCTTATTGCCCTTTTGTTCCTTGTGTCTAAAGATTGTGTAGGGTGTGGCTGGAAGCGGTGCATGGAGGCGGGACAAGGGTGGCGCTTGCTGCAGAGTATGGGTGGGGCCTGTAAGGGGGCCCTTGATTTATTTTGCCCGGGGGCCCTGAGGGTTCTCAGTCCGCCCCTGCAAACAGCAATAATTATTTTTGCAGCTATAATTACAGAGTTACGGCAATTACACGTACACACTTTATTAACTCAAAAGATACAACATGAGGGTGGCTAGATTTAAAATGTGATCTATTGCGTAAATAAAGTTTGCATAACTAAAGTTTGTATTATTGCTGGTTAACTCTGGAAGCATTCTTTCTATGTGTGATTGCTCTTATAGAGGCATATAATAAAGTTCCAGTGAGGTTACACACTAGCAGATGTCGAAGAACATTACACTACGAACAGATAACATAATTCAGTCTGTTCAACAATACAATATATTTTTTAATAATGTTATAAACTCACCATGGCCAAGAGTTAAAGAAGGTGATCCAGTCTGTGCACTGGTTAAAGCAAAACTTGAAAGGTCAACTTTGGTGGCTGATACAAGAGGTCGTTGTTCATGTTTTTGAATTACACCTGTAAACAAAATGTTTAATTAATATTTATCAGCAGGCAAATAGAGAAAAAAAAAAAAAAAAAGCTTTTATCAACCACCTTTTGCGGTCAATATTTCCATGGCCATTTATTTAGGATTATATACTAGATAATTGGCATTGAATTTGTGATTCATTTTTTCCCAATGCTATGTATTTTATGGATTCTCAGTATTTTTTTTTGTTTTTTTTTTAAATCAATATTATTTGAGCAGATATTTATAGGCGATAATATAATTGATTTAAATGGTATAAGGCTTAAATCGGCAGCCAATAAATATTATCTTCTGGAATGTAATGGAGGCCAAAGTGTCTAGCAAGTTGGTTTGACCAAGATGCCAAAGAAACAACTGTCAAGTGTTGGGCCTCCAAGCGACAGAAAGTTACTATGTCTGATGATGTATCAGACTAACTCACCATTTAAATCAGATTTTCCTCTGGCCAGGAATATGTAATAGGTGGGATTAGTGGTAGCTCTTGTCAGGGTAGAAATATTGGTGGAAATACTGGACTGAGTAATAAAGGAACACTGTAAAATTCCATTTGCATTTCGTGTCATAATGTATCCGGCTGTGTTCTGAAAATATATAATGCAGAATACATTCAAATCTCTAACTGAAAAGGAGAGAAAACAAGCCTCTTATATGTAAAGAGAACACATTCTGTTAATAAGAAAAAGGAGGTTAGCCCCTAAACAGTGAACATCAAAGTTGAAAAAAACAAAAGAAAAAGAAAAGAAAAAAGATCTACCAGATATTGTGTGCCAGGGCCGGACTGGGAAAAAAATTCAGCCCGGGCATTTTTTTATCACAGCGGCCCACTAAGAAGGGGGCGGGGCAGAGAGGGTGTGTTTTGTCATCACTCATGACAAACACGCCCCCTCTCAAAGTGAGCATGTTAGTTCAATGCTCTTCCAGGGCAGACCATGCGCAGAGCTCTGCTGAAGAGCTCTAGCATGAGAAAAAAGTCCTGTATTTGTTCTGCACAGTGCAAACAAATTTAATAACATGCTTGCACTGTGTTTCCTTGCAACTTGTCTCTGGTGTCTCTATAAATGGATACCAGGAGACAAAAGGGCCAGGAAAGAGTATTGTGCATGTGTTTGGAGCCTGTTTGTGGTATTACGTTTGTGCAGAGTGAGCTGGTCATGGTGTGGTATTGTGTAATAAGGTCTGTTTTAGTCGTGTTGTGTTTGTGGTGTAATGTAATGCATATGTGGCTAGGGGCTGTAGAGAATGTGTGTATAGGGGATGTAGCAAGTGTGTGCATACAGGCTACAGTGTGTGTGTGTATAGGTGATTTAGTGTTTGTAGAGAGTGTGTGTTTGCTTACAAGGAATCTAGTGTGCATATAGGGGATCCAGAGTGTGTGTGTGTGTATATGATCCAGAGTTGGCTAAAGGATCTAGTGTGTGTCTGGAATGTAATGTGTTTAGGGGTGCAGTGTGTGTGTGAGGGGTGTTGTGTGTATGTGTATATATATATATATATATATATATAGTTTATATAAATATGTTTGGAAGTATTGTGTATGTGTGTGATGCAGTGTATTGGGGGTTGTGTGTGTATGTGAGGGGTGCAGTATGTGTGTGTGAGGTGTGATGTGTGTGAGGGTGCTGTGTGTGTGAGGGTGCTGTGTATGATGTGTGTGAGAGTGTTGTGTGTGTGATGTGTGTGTGATGTGTGTGAGTGCTGAGTGTGATAGTGCTGTGTATGATGTGTGATGTGTGTGAGAGTGATGTGTGAGAGTGCTGTGTGTGAGTGTTGTGTGTTATGTGTGTGAGTGCTGAGTGTGATAGTGCTGTGTATGAGTGTTGAGTGTGATAGTGCTGTGTATGATGTGTGTGAGTGCTGAGTGTGATGTGTGTGAGAGTGATGTGCCTGAGTGCTGAGTGCTGTGTGTGAGAGTGTTGTGTGATGTGTGTGAGAGTGCTGTGTGTGAAAGTGCTGTGTGTGAAAGTGCTATGATGTGTGTGAGAGTGCTGCGATGTGTGAGATTGCTGTGTATGATGTGTGTGAGAGTGCTGTGTGTGAGAGTGCTATGATGTGTGTGAGAGTGCTATGATGTGTGTGAGAGTGCTGCGATGTGTGAGATTGCTGTGTATGATGTGTATGAGAGTGCTGTGTGTGAGAGTGCTATGATGTGTGTGAGAGTGCTGCGTGTGATGTGTGTGAGAGTGCTATGATGTGTGAGAGTGCTGCGCTGTGTGTGAGAGTGCTGTGTGTGAGAGTGTTGTGTGTTGTGAGTGCTGGGTGTGATAGTGCTGTGTGTGATGTGTGTGAGAGTGCTGCATGTGATGTGTGTGAGAGTGCTGAGTGTGATGTGTGTGAGAGTGCTGAGTGTGAAACTGCTGTGTGTGAGAGTGCTATGATGTGTGTGAAAGTGCTATGATGTGTGTGAGAGTGCTATGATGTGTGTGAGAGTGCTGCGTGTGATGTGTGTGAGAGTGCTGAGTGTGAAAGTGCTGTGTGTGAGAGTGCTATGATGTGTGTGAGAGTGCTGTGTGTGAAAGTGCTATGATGTGTGTGAAAGTGCTATGATGTGTGTGAGAGTGCTATGATGTGTGTGAGAGTGCTGCGTGTGATGTGTGTGAGAGTGCTGCGTGTGAGAGTGCTGTGTGTGAGAGTGCTGTGTGTGAGAGTGCTGAGTGTGAGAGTGCTGGGTGTGAGAGTGCTGGGTGTGATGTGTGTGAGAGTGTTGTGTGAGTGCTGAGAATGCTGAGTGTGATAGTGCTGTGTATAAATGTTGTGTGTTGGGGGGTAAATAAACAAATAAAAAATTAAGTGGGGGTAAATATATAAAAAAATAAAATAAAAACTAAGCAAAAAAAAAACTAAACCCCCCCCCTCCCTTCTTACCTTTAGCCTGGGAGGGGGGGACAGGCACGTGGTAGCTGGGAGGGGGGGCACCGGCACTCGCACACCATCCCTGGTGGTCCAGTGGTGAGTGAACTCTCTCGCGAGATCGGGGCGTTGCCATGGCAACGCTCCGGATCTCGCGAGAGAAACCCGGGGGAGCTGCAAGACAGAGCTCCGCCGGGTCCTCTCCCTCCCTCCCCAGCCGCAGGTCTATTTAAATGGGCCGGTGAGGGAGATCTTTGATCTCCCCATCGGCCCTCCATGGCAAACAGCGGGGCCGGCGCTCGGATAGTGCCGGCCCTGCATAGACCGGGAGGGGATGTCCTGGGACCTCCCCTGCCGGCCTCGGCCCCGCGGCCCACCGGGCATTTGCCCGGTGTGCCCGATGGCCAGTCCGGGCCTGTTGTGTGCAAGATAACATTTGACTTTTAATCAATATCTTGAATATGATAAACATATGAGAGAGTAACAAATATGAATAAAGACAACCAAATGAAAAGTACAGTCCTCTGTAAAAGGGAAAATCTTGGTTTAACACCAGGAGAATATCACTAGGATCCTGGAAGTAAATGAAGTATGCAAACTAACATAAATGCAATACTATCCTGGTTGTTAAAATCCACGGCTTCAAAGATATAGAGGAAAAGGGGGGAAATGCCACAGAGGTATTTCTCCTAATGTTGAGTCTAATGTGCCTTCGAGATCACCCCTCTAAAAAAAACAAACAAAAAAAAAAAAACCTCTACTCTAGAATACCGCCACCCGCTGTAGCCCCTATAGTCTAAGATACAAGCGGAAACCAAATTGATACAAAGTAGCAGGAGGACTGCACGACCATGTGGAACAAGGAAGCTGCTGCTCGTGGTGTCGGCTGTCTATTATAAGATCAGTAGTGAATGCCAACACCAAAATTATAACGAGTGAGCGTCCCCTGATGCACATGTTTCGCCAGAGTGGCTCATCAGAGGGGAACCAGACACAGGTAAGTGCCGGTATTTTAAACGTTAAAGTTATCGGTGATTGGTTAAACAATTTTGTGTGTTAGCCAATGGTAGGTGGGAGATACTGCCATATAACATTAAACCCTACAGCTACACCTGTGTCTTTAAATGAATCGATAGATGTTCATAAATATTAATTTCTAATTTTAACTGTAGCAATACTTAATACATAGAAAAATAATAACAAATAAGATAAAAATACAGTAGAATGAAATACTCACACCATCAGTATTTGTTGGATTTGATTTATTAATATTTATGAACATCTATTGATTCATTTACAGACACAGGTGTAGTGGTTAATGTTATAACACACTCCCATTCAAAACTCTGATTTAGGCCTTGATTTAATATTTCTGGATACATTTTTTGAATGATTTAAAAAAACCTTTATAAAAACTTTTAAAATTATTTAATATTTTTCAAAAAATATATTTTAAGCACAGAGTTTATATTATTTAGTTTTGATATTTTTTTTAAATAATTTTTTAAAAGTTTAAAAAAGGTTTTCACTAAAATATTCCATCATTTGAAAAATGTTATCCAATAAAATTAAATCGACGCCTTTGCTCTTAAGTTAAACTATTTATCAATTTCCAAGACAAAGGATGCTCAAACTAATAAAATTTTAAAAATAATATTTTCATAGTTACTTGCTTTTCCTCCCTAAAAATATTTTTTAAAAACTATTTTGTTATCAAACCCTTTAGGTCAGTGGAAACCATCATGCCAATCAGGATCACATTCTTGGATGCCACTTTAAAGCAAATGCCTCCTTACTCCACTCCACTCCACTCCACTCCCCACTCCGCCTCCCACTACCCTTCCACCAACCCCCCCAAAAAGCTTCAACACAGTACATCTCAATCCTGTGAGTGTATATGACAAAATAGGGACTACTTTGTCTTATGTATTTTCCTCAATCTTAAGGCAGAAGAAAGGCAGAACTACTGCTGTCAAAAACAATACATTGTCCATGGAGAGTACCATGGACTTGTGATATCCTCCACAGACTACTCTTGCATGTGCGCCAAAATACAGGAATCCTGGCAGATGAAGTACCAGAAGCTAAAGAGGATCCACCGGATGGTCAGATGGTCATGGTGGCAGCTGTGAATGATAGCTTCAGGTAAGTAAAACCTATTTTTCATTGCACCCCCTTGCCACTGCCTCAAGAGGCAATGTCACCATCATAGCTCTTTGCAAAATAATTAGCTAAAAAGCCCCAGAAGGTGACAGTGAAAGATTGGTTAAAAAGGAAATTGCCTCTATTAACAATTTAATCTAAAAAAAAAAAGTACAGCTTGTATTTACACATCTCTAGCATACGATTCAACCAAAGTCAGAGGCAGCTGACAGAGTTTTAGGATAGTGGGACACCAAACTCAACTGCTGAAATTTGTACTTTGTCCCCTGGCCTATCCAAAACATTACCTAAATTATGAATTCAAACATGAATTAAACTACCAAAAAAATCTTCAGTGGGGAAGTTGCCCTTACTTTATTAAGAATGGTTGGTGTGGTTGTTCCTGTGTTAAAGGCATGTTGAACCAATATGCTTCCAGTTGAATTCGTGGTACATATATAAACATCGTCATTTCCCTAGAAAATAGAATGTTATGTATTCAATAATCATGTAAAATTTCATTCAGTTATTCCCTAAATTAAGATTTTTCCCGAACGAAAAACTAAATTTTATTTGGAGTAAAAATGAACTTTGGAGACTGGTTACATAGATCAATTAGGCTGGTTATACCCAGACTTTCCATGTAGCAACAAGAAAAGATAGAAGCATTTTAGAATATAAGAGAAACTTAAAGATACATTTGTGCTGAAATAGAATGAATTCTGCAAAATTTCCTCCTTACATATGGAATAGAAAGGGTTTATAAAGTATGATGAAATTTTACATTTGATAAAAGTTTCCTGTCATACGTATCAACAGAAACACACACACACACACACACACACACACACACAATTCATACAAGTATAAGAAATTCTAAATGAAAGAAGTTGTGTTAATGTAGTGTATGAAACCATGTATTTGTAAAAAGGCCAATGGGTTATCTCTTATCTTATCTCTAAGCGTGAGTTTCATTGTCCATCCCTAGTTGAGTCACAAACATTTTTATATATATATATATATATATATACACACACACACACATACACACACACACACACACACGATCCTTGCACTCAGACTTAACAGTTACATACCGGGTGCTTGTAGTCCTAGGGAAAGGCCAGATATCCACATAGCAAAGGTGACCAGCACTCACGGATTCATTAACAGGTTAAAACATTTATTGAAAAATAAAAAAGATTGTTGACAGCTCAACGTTTCAGTCCTCCTCTGGGACTTTCATCAGGAACAACAATGATGTCTCACAATACCCATGCATAAATAGGCAAAGCATAATTGATAATTAAAAGAATTAGCATAATTAAATACTCCATTCAAAGAATTGACAAAATTAACAAATATATTCAAAAGAAATGATCTTACCCGCCAGTGTGTCATTGCTGAAGCCGCCGGCGTCTCCAAAACGCCTGTGCGCATGCGTGCCAATGTCCCGCCCTATGTCAACGTGATTGCACAACTTATGTTGCCACGGTGACCAGACACAACACCGTTCGGCCGTGGAATCCAGATCGTCGGCAATCACTGAATAATAATGCAGTATGTGGAGGAATAAAGTGCTGATGTGTAAAGGATACATGTGTAAATACTCGGCTCTTTCCATCCTCGGAGGGCCGGTATCATTGTGCAAGTGTTGCGTTTATAATTTTGCTCAGTGTATATAGGTGTGTGCGTGTGTCATCTGAGGAAAGTGCACTCACATGACTCAACTGATAAATCTTTTTTACACTAATTTGTTGTATTAAAATTGCACAATACAAGTTTGAAGATTCATCAACTGAGTCCTGTGAGTGCACTTTCCTCAGGAATCAATGTGCATTATGCAATAATTTTTGATTACCTTTAAATAGAACTTAATCCAGTGTTAATATATTAATAATTATAATAATATTACTAAAAAAGAAAACCACATGTCTTAATTGCATGTGCTTAGGGCTTGTAGTACTATTGTGTGTGTGTGTGTGTGTGAGGGTGTGTGTGTGTGTGTGTGTGTGTGTGTGTGTGTGTGCGCGCCATCTGAGGAAAGTGCACTCACATGACTCAAGTGATAAAACTTTTTTATTGTGCAATTTAATACACCAGGTTAGTGACACTAACTTGGTGTATTAAATTGCACAATAAAAGTTTGATGATTCATCAGTTGAGTCCTGTGAGTGCACTTTCCTCAGATGACACACACACACACACAATAGTACTACAAGCCCTAAGCACATGAAATTAAGACATGGTGGTTTTCTTTTTAATTAATATTATTATAATTATTAATATATTAACACTGGATTAAGTTCTATTTAAAAGTAATCAAAAATTATTGCATAATGCACATTGATTCCAGCCTTTACATTATCAGAATGGAAATTCAATAAGGGTGTGTGGACCCTGCAGAACAAGTTTTCTGCTTCAGTTTTATGTTCGTATGATGCAATATACTTTTGTCAATATTGAATCATGTTTGTAAATATAATAGCGGACAAGAAAATGAATAGTCAGACTGAAACTTTGTTGTTTCCAAGACTGTGGCTATGCACATACTATGTATCTGATCATAGAGAAGTCGCTCTCTAGACCTCTAGATTTATGTAAACCTAATCCGAAAAAAAAAAAAACTCTATATTTAAGGAAAAGTTAATCCCATCTAAAGCAAAAATTCAAAAAGTAATATTTGGGAAGGGAATAGCAAGTCAGCAACTTGAGTTGGATCTTGGGGACACAGAGTCTGATTAATTCTTTATTGTTCTATATCTCCCAACATTGGGAGGTATGAGATTAGGAGAAGTTGACATGCATGACCAGTGAATCGACCCCCATCTGCTCATAATGCAGATTTTATCTGTCTTGAAACCGGACCTGTTTGGTCGGCCTGAGCACAGAGTGCTGCGGAAGTGCTCTCTGTAGGCCTAGTGCCCTTCATAATGCAAACATGTCTACTTATGTGCTCGTGCTTTAATGCTTGAGAATAGGACATCAGGACAGGACCCCAAGATCTAAACTGTTAGGAGGGATGTTGTTTATTTTGGAGATAGATATGGTCTGTGTTCACTTGGTGCAAAAAAAAACCCCAAAAACGACAGCATACATAACTGCTTTGTACAAACAGAACTACACAGCCCTTCATTAGTGAGTATACCAGTGTTGAACAGAGACTCAGAATGGCAAAATTTAAATACTATAATACACAGTACATAGAACAGAATCACAGTCTGCCAAGTATCACTTATATTTAGATAAATCAATGCAAAAAGTTTTAACTTTCCTTATCAATCCTTTATAGTTTACTAGTTCTATCAGGATATTATTGTTTGTCAAAATACACAATGCATTCAGACCCATAATTCATCATAACATGTCTTAAGTAGGGTGATCTACACACATATCTCACCATCAATGTATCATCAGAAAATCCAATTGCTAGATAGCCGGTGCTTTGACCACTCATTTCAAACGCGTAACCACCATTGTAGGCAACTGATGACATGAACAAACAGCTGGAGTCAGCAGGGCTGCAGCTTGCTGGATTACTGAGGCAGAATTTATCAGTACCACAGGTGTCATTAGAAATCTGCAGCTAACAGAACAAAGCAAGATTTTAGATAAAGCGAATATGTTACTAAAGCATATTTTGGGCTATTAAAAGATTATAACATTTTTTCCGAAGACCCTAATTAAGCACAGTACTAAATATGTGTAAAATGATTATACTAGGATACAGTCTGATCTAATCAGAAGAGAAATGTTAGAGTCACAAAGTAGATTTGCCAATTATTTGAGTAGCGACAGTATTTTGCATGTTCCTTTACAAAGTATAGATTTTTCAGAACAGCAAATATATATATATATATATATATATATATATATATATATATATATATATATATATATATATATATATATATATATATATATATATATATATACACATACACACACACACACACACACACACATATATATATATACACACACAAACACACACACACACGTGAGCACATTCCTATCTTCTGATGTCGTTTCACAATGTGCTGGGGTCTGCATTTCAAGTCAGCATATTCAGCAAAGGTACAGTTATGTATACTCCGGAAGCAGAAATATTCTGTGCTTACTGACTATACAACTCGCCATAAATATCTCTTCCAATGTCCCTGGACCAGTGTGCTGACTTTCTGTGCATAGTAGAAGATGGAACAATTTTGGGAAGTCACATGACCCCCAACATTCTTGTGTGACACAATGTATCCAGATTAACTATGTCTTTTTTACATGTGTTTACATATATGTTGGGCAATTTAGAAAATAATTTAGTTGGGCTCCAGGGAATATATTTTAATAAGTAAAGCACACTTAGTAACACTATTATCATCATACTGACAGCCCCACCTAGCTTTCATATATCCACTTGTAGATGCCCTTCCTACATTTTGGCCATTTTTGCCACAAACATCTAACTTGCTTTGAATTGTAGCATACAGGGACTCCAAGGAAAACGCACATGGATGGGGAGATTGGGTACCCATGCTTGGTTCTGTTTCTTATATCTGTTATAAAAACCTACCTTGGAAAAAAACAAAAACAAAACAGGCTGAATGTGAAGAATACATAGCCATAATGAACTTAATAAGGCTATGAAAACGTGAATAGTAGCACAAGTGACCCATATGAAACATGAAAGACGTGAATAGTAGCACACATGTGACCCATATACAGGAGAGTTTCAACTGAATTTAGGAGTTGTAAGTAGACAACTCTATTTGACAGCTGGTAACCAGAAGGTGGAAAAGGATTTTAATTTTTTTTTATAATATTTTATTTTTATTGTAAGGTGCACAATTCATAAGAGTACATAGATAAACATCATGTCATACAAATAACATGCAGGATGGTGAAAAGGCATTAAGTATAGTAACATGGTATACATTGGTACATAGCATATATCCATAACAGAGGAATGCCGTTGGGTCTGCTAAGAGATCTATCAGAACTTCGGTGGGTGCAGCTCGTTAATGTAAGTAGTCAACCATTAGCAGCAGGCATGTACTCATAAGGCTAAGGTTCACCTTTTTGTTAGTTAAAGGGACTCTCCAGTACCAGGAAAATAAATCCTTTTTCCTGCTACTGCAGGGCACTGCAGTGCCCCCTTCCTTCCCACCCCCCATCCCATGTTGCTGAACGGGTTAAAACCCCTTCTGTCACTTACCTGAATCCAGCACCTATGTCACTCGGCACTGGGTCAGGCTCCGCCCACACTCCTCCCTCGCCGTCAGCCAGCGGGGGAGACCTAATGCGCATGCGCGGCAATGGCCGCGTGCACATTAGACCTCCCCATAGGAAAGCATTATTCAATTATTACTATGGGGATTCCGATGACCCTGGATGTCCAGCATAGCATGAGGACATCCAGCGTAGTTTAAAACACCTTTCATGTTCTAAGAACAAGGAAGTCCCTCTAGTGGCTGTCTGATAACCACTAGAGGCTGCAATAATTACTCTTGCAGGATTAAGGGTGATGGGAGTTGGCACCCAGACCCCTCGAATGGGCAGAAGTGGTCTGGGTGTCTGGAGTGTCCCTTTAATGCTATCTCGGACCTGTTGGTCACTTTTCACAGTAGCAACGTATAGGAACTTACAAGGCTAGGGATCATGTTAAAATCATAAGGGATATTCGCAACCTTATGGGATTTTATTGCTTGTCATGGTGCGTACACATAGGTAACAGTAACATCTATTACAGAGTTGTGCTAAGTTTAACTTAAAAAACTTGGGGATTAACGGGGAGAATAAGAAACTTGCTCTACCATAACAGTTTACATTAATACATCTCGCAGGCCCAATGCCCATGTCCGCTGTCTCGTTTGTGATTGGGTCAAGGAGGTGTGTGCCCATGAGGCCTGGTAAGGGATACAGGTGTGGCTTGACAACTAGGAGGCGTTTTGGGCAGCATCCCAACTTTCTCTGTTCACTTGGACCAGATGCGTTCATACCTCTCTGCGGAACCAGCTATTCTATGTGAGATTTTTTTCGTATTGCTGTGAGTGGTTCACCTTTTCGATAACTAGTGCTATCTTGAGCTTTTTGGTCAATTTTCACAGGGAAGCTATGCAGTTTTTTTGCTGCAAGTGATGTGAATGGTCAGTGCAGCTACATATTTTGAGAGTGTTTTGGGTAGGATATGGAGTATCCTACCCAAAAGGATTTGGTTGGAGTGGTAGGGGCTTCCCTATGCTCTTTTCTACTAGCAGTTTAATCTGTTGCCAGAAGGCGGTTAGTTCCGGGCATTGCCACAAAATATGGCTCAGGGTACCTATGTGTAAGCAGCATCGCCAGCAAGTTTGGAAGAGGATTTTAATTGGTCTTAAGGAGGGAAACATTTCATAGATTTAAGCTAAAGAAATGTGTTAGAACAAATACTCCTCTCATCTACATATGATATAAATGGGGTACAGCTGATTCAATCTAAAAGTAAGACATGAACAATACATAGTGTAAAACCATCACAACATGGATGTATGATAATGTACTATATTGCAATGACAAACATAGAAGGAAATTTCGCCTTAAATGTACCTCATTGCTAATGTGTCTCAAAATAGAAGGGGTTTTATTTTGTACATTGCCCTATGTGTGTTCATCATGAACTTTTTGAATGGGTCCCATTTCCATTTAAAGAATACTGTGCAGCCAATAGCTCGGTGGTCTATTGCCACATACAATGAAACCTTGCAATCTGATATTAAAATGTTATATGTGCACAGTCTCTAATAAGAGGAGTTCTTAGGGCACCATTGTCACTTGCACCCTCTTATATTTTCAAAATTAGAAAGATTTGTTCACATTTGGGATTAGTGAAGAGTATTAATATAATATAAGTAAATATTCTAGATAGTGTTATTCACTGTAGTTGCAATCCATACAATTAGAACAAACAGAAACTTACTGCTGTAAGAATTTCACTCTGCACTCCATACCAGAAACTAGAATAGTCGTTCAGGACAGTAGCTCTGAAAGACAGAAATCACTTTTTATAAACTACCGTTTACGGTTACTGTACTGTTAACAAGTTTTATTCTAGACATCTAAGGCCTGGATTCTTTTATAAGAAATACACTTATTCATAGCCAATTAATTGATGTCAGTGTGAGAAATGTGCAGTCGTATTGTCAAAGCAACTCCTAATTTACCAAGAAAAAGAAAACCTAAAAAGTTGACGTGATGTTGAATTCAACAGCCGAGAATGTCATTTGTAATTTATTAAATAATTAAAAACTGTAAACTAATGCAATAAACAGGGATAAACCTAGAAGCTGAAGTGAACAGGTAGTGCATATACTTTATTAAATGAAAACTATAGTCACCAAAACAACTTTAGCTTAATGAAACAGTTTTTGTGTTTAGGTCATACCTTTTGAAATTTTCACTGCTCAATACTCTGCCATTTAGGAGTTAAATATATGCACCTAGCCACACCTACCGTGGCTATGACTGGCACAGCCTGCATGAAAAATAATGGTTTAATTTTCAATCAGATACTTACTTTAAAAGTTTTTATCTCCTGCTCTGTGAATAGAACTAACATCACAGACAGGAGGCTCCTGCAGGGTATAGCAAGTTATTAACAGAGAAGAAAATATAACATTCTAAATTAAACAAAATTTGCAATAAAGTAAGGGTAAGCATTTGATGACTCCTTACAGAAAGTGTTTAGGAAGGCTATGCAAGTCACATGCTGGGAGGTGTGACTAGGGCTGTATAAACAAAGCGATTTAACTCCTAAATGGCAGAGAATTGTGCAGTGAGACTGCAGGGGCATAATCTGTACACAACAACTGCTTTATTAAGCTAAAGTTGTTTTGCCCCTTTAATCTGTTGATTGTAAGCGCGTTTAAGCAAGGTCCCCATCAACCTATGCATCTCTATGAGGAGATGCCGATTGGCGCAGCACTGCGTATAACAGAGCATGTTCTATAGCCTCCCAATGCTTTCCTGTTCGAAAGCATTGGATTGGTTAAAATCATCATAACTGAAGACCTTTTACCTTTTCGAACAGGGGGCTAGGCACCTAAACTTTGCTTTTCCAGCTATAGAGTCAGGAATATACATTATATACAAACTAGGTTAACAAGGAACATTTATAGGAAAATAGTATTACAGAATAGGATGGGTAACAGGAAATGGCAATATTAAGTAAATATAGAAAAAATGCACAACACTAGCAATAAGGTAATTTAAATGCAATATAGATTTTTGATGGCAATAATAGATGGAAGGCTATGAGCATTTAGAGGAGTAATTTAGTGTATGTATATGTTAGTATTTTTATATGGAGCAACAGAAGGAATTCTAGACAATCTATATCAACATCATCTGAGATATGATCTTGAAGACAGCATTGAAAATCATGTTTCAGTGTTTGCAGATGACACAAAACTTTGTAAAATAATACAATGTGAGCAAGATATTACTTTGCTGCAGAGGGATTTAGATCGACTGGGGGACTGGGCACTCAAATGGCAGATTCAATTTATGCATTTTGGCGTAAAGAATACACAAGCAACGTATACCCTTAATGGAAGCCAATTAGGGATAACACACGAAAAGGACTTGGGAATTGTTATAGACAACAAACTATGCAACAATGTGCAATGTCAATCAGCAGTGGCTAAGGCCAGTAAGGTATTGTCATGCATGAAAAAGGGCATTCATTCTTGGGACAAGAATATCATTTTGCCTCTTTATAAATCACTGGTAAGACCCCATATTGAATATGCTGTGCAATTTGGGTACCTGTTCTAAAGAAGGATATTATGGCACTAGAAAAAGTGCAGAGGCAGGCTACAAAATTAATAAAAGGAATGGAACATATCAGCTATGAAGAAAGGTTAACAAATTTAAACCTATTTAGTTTAGAAAAACGTCGCCTGAGTGGGGATATGATAACATTATACAAATATATTCGGGGCGAATACAAACCATTGTGTGGAAATCTATTCACAAACTGGACTTTACATAGGACATGAGGCCATGCGTTTAGACTGGAAGAAAGAAGATTTCGTCTAAGGCAAAGGAAAGGTTTTTTTACTGTAAGAACAATCAGGATGTGGAATTCTCTGCCTGAAGAAGTGGTTTTATCAGAATCCATACAGATGTTCAAACGGCTACTAGATGCATACTTGCAAAAACAGAATATTCAAGGATGTAATCTTTCAATGTAGGGTAATAACTGCTTGATCCAAAGATAAATCTGACTGCCATTCTGGGGTCAAGAAGGAATTTTTTTCCTAGCTTGTTGCAAAATTGTGCTTCAAACTGGTTTTTTTTTGCCTTCTTTTGGATCAACAGCAAAAAACAAATATGAGGTAGGCTGAACTTGATGGACGCAAGTCTCTTTTCAGCTATGTAACCATGTATTATGGAATAGTGAGGTTAAAGGAAACTTGTAGTGTCAGGAACTCAGACATGTATACTTGACAATATAGTGTTAAAATAACTTTAGGTGCCTGTTTAGGTTCCTGGCCCACCCTCTGTGTAGTAAAAAGGTGTTAAATCCCACGCCGTGTCAGTCTCTACTTGCTCTGCCTCCATGCTCCACCTCCATTGTGGAGATCATCAATCTTGATAATCTCAACCAATTCAATGCTTTCTCATAGACAAGCAATGGGAGGCAATTGCGCATGCATGGCAAGATGCGACACTGCGCCATTCAGCAACTCCCCATAGAGATGCATTGATTCAAGGCATCTCTATGGGGAATGTTCAGCACCTTTACGCAGAGCTTCTCTGCAAAGGCAGTATTTACATTAAAAAAGCCCGCAGGGACAGGCTATAGATACAAGAACAGCTAGAATAAGCTGTAGTGGTTATGGTGACTATGGTGTCCGTTTTTTTCTTATAATTAGCGATACATGTCAGTACAATCCTACTCAAAACATAAATTAATTATTAATAGTATGGAATCAACAAGTAATTATTGTAGTAATGAACCAAGTGATAAGGTATTTGTAAAAAGGCCAGTGGGTTATCTCTTATGTACATATGTCTGTGAGAGTCAGACCTGTCTCTCCCTCTGAATAACCATACTAATCAACTAACATAATTTATATATAAAAAAAAAAAAACTATGTTTCATGTTTGATTGATTTATTTTTTATTAGACTGAAGAAATGTACCTTTGTCCACATTGCAGTATCTTGGTAGATAAAAAAAAAATATATATAAATAAATATAATGAGAAAGTAAACAATAAGGTGTGATACTATTCACTGGGCTGATGCAATATTCTTATATCTAGGAATACAGTTGTACATAAAACATGGGCACATGAGTAAAACCCATGAGAATTAAAAAAATATGTATTTTTTGTTTGTTTGATTTTTATATTTTTAAATACACACCAATGCCCACTAACCAAGGTTTACAATTTGGATACCTTCCACCATTTAAAATTACAAAAGAGGTACTTTATTATTAGGGGTGTGATGGATGATGTGACCAGGGCTATTCTGAAATATTCTGTGTGCAGACTAATAATTTATGTAAAAAGATTTAAATTGAAACATATCTTATTTGCTCAAACTGATTTCTGAACTAATTTATTGTAATGTTAAAACACATTACTGGGAGTATTACTGCTGTGGAGCTCTGTCACAACTCAGACACCAACAATATGGAGCTACTAGTAAAGAGGGTCATTAGGATAGAAAAGAGGGCCAGATGGATTTTAGCACAAAATAGAGACTGTCCCTCCTGAATAGGCACACTTAGGACGTATGAAATAGCCTCACTAGTGTTAGAAGAGTGGAAGATTCAAGAAAGCAGCAAAAAAAAAGGTCCCACAGCACAAAGGCCTGGATAAAGCCCATGAACAGAAATTGCAGGTAGAGAGTGAAATAGTAAAGATATGTATTTTAGAAAATTATGTGAAGATTTTTCAAAATTGGTCATGTAATCCAAGATGGCCAACACATAGTCCCACAGAGTAGAATGAGGCCTAAGATGCTCCAGCCCACAATCCTGCAGGCCTTCTGGCTGCCTTCCATATCACAGCCCCGATTGAGCTGATCTCACAGATTTCAAAATGGCTGCCATATCATACCATACAACTACTTGTCTTTAAGAGGTGATCAAGCAAAAGAGCATGCCATAGCAAGTGCTTAAATAATATGTAAAATATTGTGACATTGATCATATAAACCAATATGGCCACCAGACATTGAGAATATTGTATACAGCAGAGCACACCTTAGATATTTATCAACACACTGATTTGAATTAGTTTTTTTGGTTAAGCAGTTTTGATTTTTCAGTTGGCATATGACGTCCATATTTCATTTACAGAAACTCACAGACCTTAGAGAACTTGCAACAGGGAAATAATTGCACACTTATGCAATTGGAGAACATCTTAAATGGCTCACGTCGGCCATCTTGCCATTTCATAGCAACTTGTTTTAAACAACCATGGTACGAAAGATTTTGTGGAAATGTGTGGCAAATTTCACATTGTTCGAACAATCAGTTTCATATGTTGAAATAATTTTGCGCAATCCAATAAAGCCGCTGAACCATGGGACCAAGTCATACAATTTCTGAATCTAGTTTGCAACACTGCACAGCAATTTGTTCATCTGATGCATAAATGGTCTTGTATAAGAGGTTAGAATATTGTATGAAATTGATCATCAAAAACAAATAGGTTGTCCAGCAACTTCATTGCCTGATCACCTTATTAAACACACCTCTTTTCCACTTTTTCAGGAATGCAGTTGAGATCATTTTATAAAACAGTTTATGTTGCATAGAATAGCCATTGAATGCTGACTTTTTTTTAATAAAGTATTTTATCATATTTTCGGGCACATTTGATTTTAGTTTTTTCCCCCTATCAGTTAATTATTATCAGTCACCATATTGTGCATCAACAGATGCAAACCTTGGCACTCCAGTTATTTTAGACAACTGTAGTATGCAAAGCATTGTAGGAACACAAATGAAACATCTAGAGCTTAGCTCCAGGGTTAGCTATTGCCATCCTGCGATCAGCCAGAGTCTTATGACGATGCCAAAAAAAGAAAAACCTTCACCATCAAATACCTGAAGCGTATTGGCCCTAGTCCAGTTTCTGCTGTCCAGTTTGTGGTGATTGATGTCTTCAAACTGCTGTCTGAATGACTGACTGCTGAGTTCTACATAGGAAAAATATTGGAACAGGTTAACATCTGTTGAGATAATCAAAACAATCGTTGCATGAAGTCTACACTATGCACAGAAACACAAATATATGTTTAAGATAACATTTTTATAAACTCTCAGTAAGATGGGGAAATCTTTTCAGTAACTAAAATGCCATTAATGCTCTCTGACTAGTGATTGGCTGTTTTTGTCAGGTTTCTGTGTACTGGATAAAGTTCAGGTAGGGCATGAGTTGGGTGTATGCACAAAAGGTCACATTTTGCATTGACTATATCATATATGTCAGTTGCAAAGTAACATATTTCAAATAACACATTCGAGCTAGGTATGAAAAGTTAAAAACCTTACAATGGAATCTAAAATACCAACAACGTCATTGAGTTAATAATTTGTGGATAGGTGTTTCAACTATCCACCTTCAACCAAGTGCACCAAATTTTATCAAATGATTTGGAGTGTCAGACTAGATTTGTAAGCATCCCTCTCTTGCCAACAAAACCACTTACACATATGTAGCCCTCCCCAACCCTAACCATACCCCTAACCTCCACAACAACTTACACATCTAGGGCTAGGGGTAGAGTTAGGGTAAGTGTAATACGTAATATGTATGGATTGCATATTATCTACCAGTGTAAATGCAGCACTGGAGGAGTTATCCAATCAGCATACTTTGCCCAGCAGTGCATGGCAAAGCATGTAAATGGAAATAAATTAAACTAGCACACCTTAGCTAACTTTTACGTAGCTCTTGGTTATAGTAGAAATCAGATACGTTGCTGTTCATTCTTAAGAGTCTAGAGAGTTACATAAAGCATGGGCGATTCCACAACCACTTACACATCTCTAGAGCTCCCAGTGCCAGGAATTAGCTTATTGGTCTAGATTCCTGCCATCATTCACATGATTTTCCCTCCCTCTCTAATTTTGCCACTTTTGAGAAATCCGAAGCACTTCTGAAATTCAGCAGTTTAGACATTCAGAAGCATATGAATTTACATTCGGAACAAAACGAATTGCACATGTCTAGTTTTTATAAATAAGAAGCCTCATTGGTGAAAGCGTATAAATAAAAGCTATTCCCAACGGAGTGTGTGTGTTCCTGTGCCATGGAAATGGGGTAAAAAGAATGAAATCGCTAGTATCTAATGAAGCTTTGGTAAAAGTATTTCCGAGGTCTTGTAAAATTGTACAAAAAGATGTAACAACAATAAGTGAATAAACAAAGACAGAATGTAAGAAAACAGAGAATTAACAAACACTTTCAGCTCACCTAAAAGTTAATCCCTGCTGAGGTCTCAAACAAGGTTTAGCTCACTAAAATATAGAAGGAACCTATCCATTTGCATTTTTAATTGAGCCCACGCACAAACACAAAGGGGACTAAATTGATGTCTATAGTATATTCTGTATACTAGGCTGTCCTAGTGTAGACATTTAAAACTAACTACAAAAAAAAGACACCCACAGAAACACATAACCCATAGCGAACACTTACCCATCAAAATGTAACAACTTTATTTCTTCTGATACTGTCCAATCTTCTTGATACCAAACTATATTCTAAATGTCTGTCAATGTGATTTAGACTGCTGTGGATCTCCCCCATCCCACATTAGACCAACCCTTTACTTTTGCAATCAGAGGTGTTCCTGTGTGCATTTTTTCTTATGCTTGATGCAGAGAACGCCCCCAATCCTATTGGCTGGACATATTTGTGGTATATGGTAAATATTCACCTCATTGTCACCACACTGCTGTGCCAACGTTTTACATTGTCTGAGTAAAGCCTGTGTTCATGCCATTTTCCTATGCCGTTCGGGAACCGAAAAGGCGCAAGAACTATGGACCACCCGGGAGTGGGGCCAGTTGTCCTACTCCTCAGCGGCAACACACCTTACAGGGAGAGGGGACAACAGTTCTCTCTCCCCAGTGGCAGTGTATCCTGCAGGGAGAGGAGACAACTTGTCCCTCTCCCCAACCACAGCTGGAGCTACGGGGAGTAGAGACAGACGGTCTCTCTTCCCAGCGGCAGTGTTTCCTGCAGGGAGTGGAGACAACCGGTCCCTCTCCCCAACCCCAGCTGGAGTTACAGGGAGAGGAGACAACCGGTCTCTCTCCCCAACAGTAACTAGCATCACTGGAATTGGAGACAACTGGTCCCCCTTTCCATCAAGAGCAGGCATCTTTGGGAGTAAAGACATTCGGTCTCCCTCCCCAGTGGCAGTGCCTGGTACCTGGAGACATCAGGGATGACTGCCATTACAACTACGGCAAAGTGGACCTACCCGGGCAAAGCATGGCACAGGAGGCTACCAGGTCAGCTAGTTGTCTTTGGGTGGGCTTCCCGACTAACTCAGGTACTGACCGGCAACAGGTAAGGTACCTGGTTAGTCTTCCCTTGGGGGGGGGGATGTGTGGCAAAGATGCCCCTGCCATGTGTTCCTGGAGGGGCCTGCTGGATAGCCTCCTGTCCAAAGACTATGGACTCTGCACAAAGCCTGTTAAAAAAGACTGTGCTTGGGACATTTTCCTATGCTGTTCGGGAAGCGAACAGGCGCACGAACCATGGACAACCCAGGAGGTTATTAAGCCCTATCATTACCTCTTAACGATTCTAACCACAGTGTTGTAATTGTTCGTCTGGGTGGCTGCAGCTCACATAAGTGACCGCGAGGTGGCGGCCAACTTGTTCCCGTGAATGCAGGCAGCGGTGTTTGGTCATTGAGTTCATGGAACTCAAATCAGACACAGAAACTCCCAAACACCGCTGAACTTCCATCATCAGCTGCGTTCGAATTCTACACCACCTAGACGGGCACTGCTCGGTGGAATCGTTCGTCTGGATGAGGGGAACAAGACTATTGACTACGTTTGGTAGTTTGTTCGTTTTTAAAATACCGAACTTGACCGACCGTTAGCACGGATTTCATGGAACTGTTGTGGGCATAGGACCATGTACACAGTCAATCAAATAATGACTTCCATGGAAATCCATAACCCCTGAACTGATATGGGTGATTTTGGGATATGTTGGTCACCCAGATCAGGACTATCAGAAGATGTAACTTTTGTGGGGTTTTCATGTTTATTGGGGGGTACTTTTGTGGTGTTCCAAAACTGTATGTTTTCTGTACCTGGAGATAATTGAGTTAGTACAGTTCCTGACTCAATTATCACCCAGGCAAGGGGAGGAGTTTGTGACTTTTATAAATTCTGTTACTGTGCTTCTATTAAAAAGACTACTTCCCAGATTAAGCCTTGGCTCATGTGTGGGGGGTTGCTATACTCCTCTTTGGATTACTATACCTGCTATAATCTCTTGGAGGAGAGGTCTTCCCACTGGGAGCTGGATCTAGGTGTTGGTCCATGTTGGGAATCGACAGCGAGACCCCAGCAAAGCTGCAGCAGCTAAGGGGGCTACAGTGGTTAACGTGTGGTGCTTATAGTACTTGATGAGCACGATTGGCAGAGGTACCCAGTCGGGGTGCTAGGTGGCCCACCACAGTGGTGATTTTGGTGACAAAAGTATCCCTTTCAAGGAAGAGGAAGAGGAAGAGGACTGACACTTAAAGTCAGATCTGTGACATCATCTGGCAGGGAGGTAAAGAATGTTTGTCTGAATTCTTACTACACAAACTGAAATTTATCTTGGAGTGTGTTACCTTCTTCCTATTGGTTTCTCTATTGTAAAGTGGACCAGATTTTTATGCAAACCTCAATTAATTTTGAATCTAATGTTCCTAGTTGTGCACGGATTAAGTGAGCTCTAGCTCCGATGACACATATGCAGAATATGTTGTAAAATAATGACCCAACCCAGCTGACCTTACGTTTTATGAAAGTCTGTTAGATACAATAATAAGCTCTCCATCCCCTGCACCTATATGTACCCTCAACTGAGATACAATAAATTTAAAAATGCTAAATCATCAATTGACTTATTTTCAGATCAGAATTAGATGTCGAAGTATGAAACAAACCTATTCTCTTAATATCTGTAGATGAGTATTTTTGCTACAATCAACTTCTACACAACATTAAGAACTATCTTGCAAAAAACAAAACACACAACTGAAAATACTTTCTACAAGGTTCTATATAGGCACATGGTTAGATCTGGAACTGGTCTCTTGACCTAGAAGATTTGTCCACTATGCCCCTTCGTACATCTGTGAGGGCAAACTTGTTACGTCTCGATTTTGAAGTTGTAGTCCCAGATGTGGGTTTGTAAAGCTCTGCATGTTACTTTTATTGCATATTATTGCTTAGCCCTTGTAACTAAAGGGTAGGCTATACTATTATTTTTTGCAGTCAAAGGCTGGATGAGGAGTTCAGAAGCAACAGTTGTAATCTGTCATCTATATCGATGTAACTATATGAAAATAAATGTCTGTTATATTAAATTACTACTTTGACTCTTTGCAAAGATATATCTACACCCCTCTCCCCCTCCCCCAAAAAAGTTACTTGCAATGAATTGATTTGAGGAAATATTAAGAACAGAAAAAACAAAACACTCACTGCTGTGCCACAAGTCAGTGTCCGACTAAGTGCATTTGTCAAGGTAAATGACCCCACGATTCTGTCACTTCCCAATGTTCGGGCCTCTACGATGAATCCTTTGAATGAAGTGCCAGAACTATTGGACTGGATTGAAACTAGAAGAAAGAACAATTTGCCAAAAAGTTTAATATTTCTGCAATATACATAATAGATGAATAGACTAAACTAATTATACAGGGCACAAATGATTTATGGTAGAACATTTCAAAATGTTTCAACATTTCAATCAGTTAGCTTTTAATAGTGTAGAAAAAGAAGGCATACATTTTACAATACATCTTGTTGAACATTCCACAACGTAATGAAGATGTCAAATAAGATGGCAGTTACTGCAGTGGAATTGTAAAAAATGTAACTCTGGCTATGGTCACATTTTCTCCATGCCACATATTGAAAACTCAGATGCAAAAAGCATTGCATATGTGGATTTGTGTTTTGAACACTCTCTTGGGTGATGTCTCTTTACCAATTAGCCACATACTGTAAAACAGATTCCAGCTGTTACCTTCCAAGAGTTTGCGTTCTATAATCTCTGTGCACAAGTAGAGTTTATCTGGGATTAAATCAAGACAATCCAAGTTAACTCCTTCTTTGACGCAGAGGAAAACATATTACTCTTTGTGTTTCCCAGTGTAAAAGCTTTAAGCATTAAAATTATTTCCCAACCTATAAAAACAGTATGCGTAACCTGAATATTTATTAACATATTCACCTAAAAATGTCCCCATAAATACACTCTTCTCATAAACCTTGACACAACCATCTGACCTAACATTTTGTAAACATATCCATTACCAAATATAGCAGGGGTAGGTAACCTTCAACACTCCAGATGCAGAGGACTACATCTCACCAGATGCTTTACCAGTATTATGGCTATAAGAAAATTTTGGCTGATGACGTCCACAACATTTGGACTGCCGAAGGTTGTCTACCCATGCACTATAGGTTGGTAGAGATGGATAAACAAGACAGTTCTCACATGCAAATTTCAATATATCGCAACTATACTAAATCTAGTTGGACCATCTCAATTTGTGACCACTATCCCATAATTTTTTTTTCTTCCCCTTTTTTAAAAAGTGGGGATGGCCACCTTGATTGAGTGTCTTGAAATACACACATTTTGTCATTGACACAGTTCCATAACACCCTACTATATACAAGTAATCATATTATTGATTTTCCTACATTCCCTGGCTAATAATAGTACCTAACATAGGTCCCTCAAAGCTAAACTATGCTCATTGCAAGAAGACAAAAGCCTGGTATTAGGCACACAAATCAAAGAATTGTGTTCTTTTTGGGTGTAAACAGGTTTATGAAAGCAGATTGTGAAAATACTATAGCTGGAAAAAGGCACTGGCCAGTGTCAGAACCTTCCCAGATATATTTGAATGGCTCATAACTTAATTTAAATTATTACTTGCGATCATGAACTGCTTTAAAAGAACTGCCTATCTATATCACCAATTATGACAAAACTATAAATTACTAACAAGGTATAGGTGTGTTTTGTGTAAGTTTTACATATTTATATGTGTTATATTAATCACACGTGAAAATGCACTCATTTTGTGCATTACAGGGTTGTATTCTCTATTAGTTATATTCTTTCTACGTCCTGTTGGTTATATAAATGTAAAAAGCCCTTTTGGGGAATATCTGTTAATATTTTTCACAGGTCAACAGCTTCAAGAAATGGTACAATATATAAATAATCAGATCTAAAGGTAGTTAGGGATAATCATTTATGTATAGTTTATATATACCTGTAATTACATCGCCAGGATTAAATGTATTTTTAGACACAGAGATATAGTAAGGAGCTGTACTGGTCTGTGGAACGTTGTTGCCATGTACTGGAAGCATTGTATAACAGGAGTCAGATATTTGTCCATTCGGATAACCAAATACAAACACAAAGCATGCCGAAAGGGAAGCAAGAAATAAGAGGGGAACATCCATTTTTACCTAGAGATTGACACACAGATAAAAAAGACAAATGGTAATTTATTGAACATAGTTACACACAATGATTTTTTACGTAGGGTTTGTTTCGGTGTTTGTAGAAATTTGTGTTTGTCAAAACCTAAAGTAATCAACATGGGACTATTTCCATGCTACAAAATGTCACTGTTATTGACTTGTAATTAGTAACTGCCATAGCTTTTTACCTCTCTTAAACAGATTAACAGGAGAAGAGAAACACACCAGGTTTACATGGTAAACAGTAAATATTACGAACAGTCACTATCTCACTCAACTTTAAACCCGTTTTACCTTGATGTAAAGTGAAAAAAGTTAGCAACTGCAAGCTCTTAATACATCCTATAGAAAGAATATATATATATATATATATATATATATATATATATATATATATATATATATATATATATATTTATTTATTTGCCATAAGACCACTCTAGGCCAGCTTCCTCAGATCATCACAGATGACGTGTATAAGCGGAGTGAACCTTATATTGTGGCCTGGCAGAGTTGCATTCTCAATTAATTGAGCAATTTGTCTTTTTGTTCAGTTTGCAAAATAAATAATAAGTGGTGGTAAATATTAGCCACGATCATCTACTCGTTGTTGATATTAATGCTAAAAGGGCTGATTTGTACAGACAAGCATGGAAAAAAGAGCCAAGTTCAAGTCTTGCGTGAAGCGAGATTTGCCCATCAGAAAACTCGGATTGTTGATTTCCGAGTTAATGGAGCTGAAGGATAAGTTTGTAGGCATTTTTGTGTGATTTTATTAATCTGCATTGGATTGTTTCACATTTTAGTGGCAGAAGAAAGAAGATCATCAAGTAAATTAAAATTTTATATTTATTTATTGTCCCCCAACATCTTATTCAATATTTAAATATGATTGTAATAGTGGGTTAGAGTGACAGTTTGGTTTTTTTTTTCCTCCCGGTGAATGATTATTCTTAAAAAATAAAAATAAAAAAAATAAAAATAAAAGTAAGGAGCCTTTAAGATCTTTCAAATGCATCTTTGTCCCCTAGTAATATTACTATTTTGTTATATGTTGTGAATTTGATATGTAATCATATTAAAAAACAAAATCAAACAAAAAAAGAAAGAAAATTTTAAAAGAAATAAAAATGGGCAAAAAGGCTTACTTAGCACATCATGGAAAAGGTGATAAAAATATCACCGATGTTTAAAAGGTAGAGTAAAAGTTTTATTAATAAGAAAATGGCACATACTCACAAGATTGGCACAAACATTTGAGTTATAAATAACACCCAATGTATTAGGATCTTTGTAAGGTAAACTGAGCCATTTATTTTAAAGAGATGATAAACTGCACATTTTATACCAAATAAAAGCTGGAAACAGATCAAATAAAAAAATAAGACTGTGAGACTTTGGACTTTTTATATATATATTTTTTTTTATATGGTTATTGTTTAGAATAAATATTGTATGTTTTTTTCATCTACGTTATTGGCATTATCCCTGCTACTTTTTTAAAGAAGGTGTGTGGTCC